TTCCTTCCATGAAATTTTAAGAGCAGGAAACTAAAGAATATCAGCTATATGGGAATGTTCCTGCACTTCGCCATAGCCCTCTGCCCTAACTTTTCGGTAGGAAAGCATTCCAATTCCTCATTCTTTCTAAAAACAGTATTAAACAAACTATAATTGTAATTAAAAAAAAAAAAATAACTCACCACGTACCAAAACAGTGCTACAAAACATTAAGATCCGCATAAACCAATACCAGTGGCTGTCAACTTCAATTACTTCAGTGAAGATCTGATTCATGCAAAAGTTGTACCAAGATATGGAAATGGAGTCAACATGGTTCAAAAAACAACTTCATTCAGCTAACCAAAGCAGAAGACCAAGGTATCAATGATACCTTGATACAGTCATGCTTAAATTTGGGTACACAATAAGAGTTTTGAAGATAAATTATCACTAATAGGATCACTGGTTCAGCTTGGAAAATGTGACAGACATGGTCCCAAAACCTATCAATTTTCATTGTGATTTTAAGTTCACAAGAACGATTTGCCACTGATTTCCAGTCAAGTTTGGGATCAGGCTCTTAAATGGGAGGTGTGAAGGCGCATGAACGTGTTTTTTTTCCCCCTCAGATCAAGAAAAAGTGGTTAATAATTAACACTGTAAAGGCAAGAGACTTCAGGAAAAGCAAATACAGAAAATTTTAACAGCTGCAACAGTGAAAAGGAAATAGTTTCCACAAACCAGGTCTGTATTCTGGACTTCTGAGACTTCCTTTGATATCTTCCCAACTTATCCCTGCTACATCTGCTTGTATTTGTATCAGCCAAAACCCAGGAAGATGGACCCTTCTTTTCTCTCCTGTACCATGGTGAACTGAGGGAATATGGCCAAAGAATTTCTAGCTGCTTCCACATTTTATGCAAAGGAAGTTGACTGAAGCCACCATGAAAAACAATTATCTGAAGAAACATGGAGAAAATGTGATTTCAAACTTCTGTAAAAAAAAAAGTTGCTGCTGTTACAAGGTATCGTAGAAATTAAGCCACGATACTGTTGATCTGCATTAATACTACTGACTTTTCCCCCCTTTAATGTACAGCCAACCTACCACGTAATAAAACTCACATTTAAAGCTACCACATTTTCATCTCTATTTTGGGAAATTCTGTTTGGAGGAGAAAGAAGTATCAGAGCACTGAGCTGCACGCTGCAGGTACCACACCCCACCAACTATTACTTCACAGATTTTATCGTATCAGAACCTTTTAAAGTATTTAAATAATGCACATACCCCTCATGCTATTCAGAACGCCGTTTCCCCCAGCGAACACAAAGACTGATAAGTTCAGTGCATGCAACCCCAGCGCTGAGCTCACAGGAAGCGCTCCATCAAGCCAGCCCATTTCACTGCAACACATCCCAGCAGGAGAAACTCCGAGGCAGAACACACTGGACCTTAACTAAGGCTTGGGTGTTGCTTCTGCTTTTACTTACACAACCTATGCATTTTAACACAATCACAAACTAGAACTGATTTTCCTGCTTTAATACTTGTTTTTACTTAACAGACCATCATGTAACAGCCCAGCTGAGTGAAACGCACGCGACTCAAATGAAATAGGAGGGCAACTACATGACACTACATGACAGAAAAAGGCAAGGAGTAATCTGACAGATAATATATAAATCTAACAGATAATGATCAGATCGTCCACAGCATCCTCATACAGCTGAAACAACGGTGTCACAAACAGAAACTAACACATCTTATGTCTACCGTAACACGAATGAAGTCTTCCATCCTCTCAATCCACCCCAACTACTACAACAGTCGTTGCTCCCCTGCCGTCAGACCCTCCAGAGGTTGCACCCCACTGCCTCACGCATCGGGACACCGTCTCTCAGAGAAACCAAAGGAACCTGAAATTCACCCTCCCTACAGAAGAACTAAATTCTCAATATTGAAGACCAGGGTGAAAATCGCTTGTGGGGGGTGGTGGCATAAAATAAATACGCAGAGTGCAAAGGACTGAGCATACATTTCTGCACTGAGCCCCTCACAAAATGGCTACTGGGTGCATATCATTAATAAGAATATTAAGAATGCAAACATGATGTTTGCTCTCCAATTAAGATAAATGAGGTGACTACTTCAACTTTTTGCCCTATTTCAAGGATCACCTACTTCAATTTCCATATTATTTTTTTAGGATACAATATAGCAGGCTAAATTTTGCGTTTGTTTTTAAACAGTTTTTGAATAAATAAAGCCATCTGAGAAAATCAACCACTCTACAGACCTTGCTGCGATTTTTAAGTGTTACAAGAAAGAGAGAAGAAATTCCCTGCTTTCCCTTTAAAGTGCTAACTGTTTTAGAAGGCACAGAAACTCCATGACATCACCATGACTAGGGATAATCAGCAAGAGTTTGGTAAAGCAACTGCAGAAGATTTTGCAGATCTTGTTCAAGAAAGAAAAAAACACTAAATCATCAGCTAGAGGCAAGCTTGCTGTCCAAGTTAAGCACACACACTGTCTCCCCACCCCCAAACCCTGAATTTCGGGAATGTTAATGAGTGAAACAAGGCTCTAAGCACTCCATCAATGCTTAGAGTCCATGTAACAGCTCTGAAGTGATCCATCTTCAAATTACCACGACCCTTCCATGATTTATTGGCAGAAACTATTAAGGTACATGAAGCAAAACCCAGGCACTGAAGACATGCTGTTGTACACAACACACAAACAAACTGGGGAACCAAGAAATACCAGAAGCTTTCCCAAACACCCAGACAGACAAGACTTGAGCTGATGCTTGCCAAACACAGGAGAAAGGTCCCCATGTGTTAACACACCCTGTCACATCCTGCCTCGTCTCGTTTATCCACCCAGTTGACTGAAGAAGTTACAGAGCTCCACATGTCAGACATTTACCTGCCATTGGAACGAGGCGCTGCCCTCATGAGAGAAGTTACCAGCCACAATGAAAGAAAGAGCTTGTTTTTCTCCTTTTTCGTTTTTAAGGACTTTGGAGAAGATGAGTTTGGTCCTTTTGAAAGTCTGGCTATACCAAAACCAGTGCAAGCACCAGGATCATCCGTTCTTTGATCCCTTCAATGAAGGGGATGTATTCAAACCCTTAACTGTACCCGTGACACATTTGTGCCTGACACTGCTCTGGAAAGCTGTAGAATTTCTTAGTTATATTGACTGATGCACAATTCAAGAGAGATTCCATTAATTCAGAGTTAATACCATTATTTTCAATGCAATTTATTCTTTTAAAATATAAATATATTCTGCATTGGTTTCTCATAAAATTTTAAGTTAGGGAGTATTCAAGCAAGTCCTTTCCTGCTTTTTTTTTTTTTAATACATCACACAGCCATGTGATCTCTATACTTCTTCTTAGAGAACAAATACAACATGACCATCATTCCTAATTTTAAACCAAGAAAAAAAACATCAAGCCATCCATCAACTGCATACATTTCAGGACTGCAGGAAGCAGACAGAACCTTGCACTGGTTCTTCAGAGCGCTTTTCCCTTTGCAGTGCAACCCTCCATGGCATTTCACACCACAGCAATGCTCATCTACAGCAAATGTCCATTTTAAAAGAAGTTAACAGATTTGGTGCACTGCACTTCTGAGAAAGCACCACAGTCGATCCCAAATGGGATCAAAATTTGGCTGGCCCTAACTTGTAGTAGTTCAATAAGCATGCCAACTACTACACAGAATACGGTTATTGACTTTGGTTACATCAGCTTTAGACCCTTCATTCCTGAATGCTGGCACCCAGAAAAAGTATATTTATTGCTTACGGTACAACATTATGTATTTGTAATTCTCATAACAAAGCATTAAGTTCTCACTGCAAGGGTCTCGATGAGCACCGCACCATCAAACCCACTGGGAGATGGATCCCACACGTTGGCTTTAGGAAGCTCTACTTGATGAGTGAATTCCAAGCTGTGGGGTGTTCCCTGCTAGCCATTTACCAACAGCTGCCCCCTCGGCTTCGCGCAGGGGCTGCACCCAGTAACAACCAAGGGTCCCTTCCAAACTAAACAACTTCACGATTTCAGAGGTTAAGACTCAGGTCCGGCCACATAAACTCACTGTCCCTGGAAGAGAGCTGCCAATGGGACACGTGAAAACCTGGCAGCTGAAACTCATGGCTGCACGAGAAGGTCCTCCACAAAACCTCCCATCCAAAGCCCACCGGGGCACGCGCGTCCCTTGGCACCCACAAAACCCAGGGGCAGCGACACCACGAGCCAGCCACCCCTAAGGAAGCACCAGACGGACAGCAACAACACCCTGCCTCCCGCCAACACCTGCTGTCAGCGAGAACTCGATCAGGCTGCTACAAATACCACGACACGGGGGTTTCGGCGGATAGAGACGAAAATGAAGCCTTCCAACGTGCGATGGCTCCACGCAGGTTTGTATTTGAGGACGAGGCTCCGCCACGAGCCACCCAACGAGCCCTTCCCTTCCTAGGGGCAGCAGGCCCCGAGAGCCACGGAGCGCGGCCGGGGCCGGGCTGCCAGCAACCCGGGCTCGTCGGGGGGCGCGGGGAGCCCGGAGGGCCCCACGGACCCACAGCGACCGCGGCCTGGGCCCGCCGCGACCCCCGGCGCTGCCGAGCCCAGGCGAAACGGCGAGGGAAGGAGGGAAGGAGGGAGGAAAGCAGGGAGGGAGGGAGGCGCCATGGCAGCGCCTCAGCCTCCCGAGGCGCGGGGCCCGGCCCCGCATCGGGCTCGGGGCTCGGCGGGCGGGCAGGGCCCGGCGGCACGGGGGGACGGGGTGAGGCCGATGGAGGCCCTCGGGCGGACCCCGCGCCCCCGCAGGAGCCGTCCCGGGCCACGGGCAGCGCCCCCAGCGCCGCGGCGGGGCGGGGGCGGCCGAGCGGCGGCGCCGAAGCACCGGGACGGGGACGGGACGGGACGGGACGGGTCGGGACGGGACGGGTCGGGGCGCTCCGGCGGCAGCCGCGGCCCCGCACTCACCGTCGCTGCGGGCTCCTCATCCTCCGCGGGCGGGCTGCGGGCTGCGGGCGGAGGCTGGCGCTGCCCCGCAGGCCGCGCCGGGGCCCCGCGGCTCCGCCGAGACGGGTGCGCAGCGGCGGCCGCGCGTCGGGACGGGCCGGGCCGGGCCGGAGGGGAGGGGAGGGGCCGGGAGGGGGCAGCGGGGCGGGGCGGGGCGGGGCGGGGCGGGCTCGGCGCAGGCTCGGTGCCGGGCGGGCGCTCCCGGCGCGGGGCGGGGCCGGGGCCGGCCGCGTGCACGGCGCGAGGGAGGGCGAGGGGCGGCGGGGGCGCGCGCAGCCCCACGGCCAACGGCCGCCTCGCGCCGCCCCCGCCCTCAGGCGGCGGCTGACGGGCGCCGGGCGCGAGCCTCGCCCCCCTCCGCCCCCCCACCTCCCGCCTCAGCGCGCGGGGCGGCCGTTGGGGGGCGGCGGCCGTTGGGGGCTCCTCAGAGCGGCGGCCGCCCCGCTCCTCCTCCTCCTCCGCCCCGTCCCTCCCCACGGGCTCCCCGGGATAACGCTGGCCGGGAGGAACCGGCCGGGCCTGCTTTTCCTCCCCCGGAGCCCCTCCTCGGGCGGCAGCGCGGGCCGCGGCCCAACGCCGCCTCAGCCGGCTGGGCGCTGCGCCACGGGCCCCGCCGCCCCCTCAGCGCTAGGAGCGGCTGCAGGAGGGAGCTCCCGGCCGGAGCCGCGCAGGAGGCGGTGCGGGGGACGAGCACGGCAGCTGGTGCTTGAGGCGAGTTGAGGGGGGCCTGCGTGCGAGGGCGGGCGGGCGGCGAGCAGCTGCGTGTGGAGAAGCGAGCGCCTCGAACGGGCCTTGTGGCGCTGTGGGAAAATGGCGCTGGGAAAGCTGGCGCTCCAGTGGCGCTGCGAGGGATGAGAGTGCCGTGCAAAGACCAGAATTGTTCGCTTTCCTCCATTTCCTGTGTCTCTAAAGGAATAAGCCCGGTTAGTTAGATCGGAATACATTGTAACTCCTGCAACGAGCTTCTTTGCTCGCTGATAAGTTTGCTAAAGGCCATGATTTGCATTGCATTTCCAAACTCCTCGTCATTAGGGCGAATTACCAAAGTAACAATTCGTCTGTCTGTCTTCAAGGGATGTCTCCCAAGAGCAGTGCAAAAGGAGCCTTAATGACAGTATGCTATATGACAAGGAGGCTGCACAGTTCCCACCCTGCCTGCTGTTTTTAATCCTTCACTCAGCAGAGTGGCAGCGGTTGTGTTGTTGACATGGTCTTGATTTTCAGTTGCCCCATTGTGTGGTTCTTCTGCATCAAGAACTTTGTACGCGAAGCCAGCTATGGGGGCATACGGATAACAAAAACCTACTGACTTTTCCTCTGCTGTAGCCCCAAACACCCTTTAATCGTCAGCAATTGCTAGTGTCAAGATGCCTGCCCAGATAAACTGTTTCTAGAGAGTAACCAATTGAGAACCAATTCACTCAGGGATGCCAAACAGCCACATGTGCGTATATTGTGGGAAACACTGGTTTGCCCACTGTGACGGCCTCTCTGCAGCCCAGCTCTAGTTTGCGTGTTCGTTTCAGATAGGATCTGTATTGTGTGCTCCACTCTAGAGATGGCACCTCAGCGCTCTCACATTCGTTACAGTTCACATGCATCATACACACAGATTGTTAGGCAAGTGCTTAGCCTGCACACCGTCCCATATAGCAAAACAAAAGAGGAAATGTAATTTCAAACCTATCGCCTTTAAAAAGCAGGCAATTAAAGGCACACCCAGTAACTGTAGGTGGCCAGATACTACAGTGAGCAGCATTTAAAAATACAAGTCTTGCCTTACTAGACTTTTGGAAAAAAATATTCTGATGATCCAGAAAAATCCGTCAGTGTCCAAAACAAAGACAGCCTGCAAGAAAGAAAAGATCACGGTGTTCATGCCAAGCAATACAGAACCTTTATGCTTATGTTTATAATTTCAAAGGAAAATATGAGTCTGCTGTTCCTCCACTCTGTCTACTATCAGATTATAGCAACAGAATAGACACTCAATATGGAAGAAGAATGCAACATGCGTGTGTGTGCTCCCAAGCAGAACCAAAGCTGTTAGAGCTAGCATCTCTTTAAATAATGATCTGCGTGGTAATACAGTGCTGGGCTTTTCAGATGCTAGATAGTGATTTGAATCCAGTGTGCCTGGATTCGGCAAAAGCCACTAGCCTTGAAATTTGTTTGATCGAAACAAATCTATTTTGAACCTTGTACAAAATAGATTGTTTTCAACCAATCTCTAATAAGTAAATTTGCAAATCACAGAAATTACTCTCTCAGCTGCTACTTTTTAAGTCACTCAGGCACTGAAGTGGTATCACTCAAGTGATAGCCCGTTAGGTCAGAAATAATGTTGCTGAGAATGAGGTTTTCATTGCCATACCAGTATATCTTTTTTTGCATTGGTAAGGAGTATCGGGCTGTGTAAATACTAGTCTTAATCACAAAATAAATTCAGTAAAAGTAAACTACGTTATCATAATATATGGGCTGTAGGAGACAGAGCTGAATCTTGATGTAAAATGATGAATCATAACAACCTTAAAAGGTATTTGGATCGCAGGATTGTGAGGGATGTCTGATGAAACATCGTGTGGAAAGTACTGGCATCTTTCAAAACAGTGCAGAACTTACAGTATGGTTCCAATTTTGTGTAGGTATAAACTGATTTTTTGAAATGTATGGATTAACAACAAAACTATGAAAACAATGTGTTTAAAGTAAAATTCCGCACTGACAGTCATACAACTGTGTGAGAAGAGGGGATTGCTGGCCAATGCTGATGTGTGAGACATTCAACCTGGTGATGCAAGAGCCTAGTTGTATTTCTCCTAATGAGAGTAACTGTGAAAATTTAACCTCAGATTTTTGTCAAGGATAACACGAAGAATCAAACCTGTCTTGATCTGTTTTGCCCTGTTTACCTTGTGGGATAGGTAGAGATACCTGTTTAAATCAAAGACGAATACTTCAGGTGATAGACACTCAGAAAGATGCAGGGTTCCAGTCAGCTAGTTATCAGTAACAGACATCTCACCTGGTCAGGATTTAGGAATCTGCAAAAACTTGGACACGTCAGGTTTTGGTAACATGAGGTATTTATTTTGTTAATGGAGCAACACTCATAGACACTGCAGTCTGAAAATCTGAAAATAAACATGTATTCATTCTACACTTGGCCAGGATGGGCTGTGGAAGCCTAGCATGAAATACAGAAAGAGCAGTTCAAGATTGTCAGGATGAAAAGAGCTGTATTACAGAAATAAAATCATGATTTTTGGATAGCCTTCCAGCTGCTTTCTTTGTCATTTCCTCTCCAGAAATTTCTTATTAGTTCTTGGAATCACTTGGGAACTGCAAATCTTAAATATCAAAAGATCTTTAAGAACAAAGGCATATGTATAGGTAGAAGGTCATCCATGTGATAGGACGTTATCTTTGTAGATCCTTCTTCACTTCAGTCTCTGGAATTCATATGTCTAAAATCTGAGCCAACTGCAATTTTGAAAACTGTTTGCAATTAGATGAGTGCTTCTCTGTTACTGTTACCAAAATAAATATTCCATGTTACATATTAAGAGAATATTACCCTTCAGACAGGGACACAATTTTTTTCACTTTAAATGATGTGAATTTGGCTTTGCCTTTTTCCAGAACTGTTTTACTTGAAAACACATTCCTTTGATTATAGATTAATTGAGCTGTCTATTAGTTAGACATGTCTTGGGTTGTATTAAGTATTTTAAATGTAAGCATAATTAATTTGATAAGGCACAATCAATCTATCTGTGGGGGAAGATGTTTTGCAAAACTTTCTGCTCATGAAGCACTGATATTAAAAAGGAGGAAGTATTCACCAGCATTGCAAGCCCTGTGCAACCTTCAGCCCAAAAGGCGTGATGTGGAACCAAGCACGTGGCAGGACTGGAGAGCGCTGGGAGAGACTCCAGAGTGCCAGCTCAATGTGCAGAGCACAGGCGGGAGGAAACTCTTCCCACAGTGAAGCACTTGGTGTACTCCGGGGTTCCCTCTTGGTCTCTGCTGACCAGATTCTTCTTTAGCCTTGTGCATGCAGACAGCAAGGAAGGAGGACATAAGAGCTGTCTGTACCTGTGACGTGCCTTAGGCAGCTGCTCTGGGATGCAAACGGATTCCTTAATGAGCTGTATATTAGGGACCACAACTGCATCTTGCCAAGGGCTGTAGTAATGGGAGTGTTTTGCCTTATTTTACAAGTGCTCTAGGAGACATTTTGCAGTCAAGAACCAAATTTCCTGTTGCTTTTTCTTTTTTTTTCCCTTTCCTTTCTATGCCTTGTTGAGCTTCGCGTTTCTGTTTTTTCTTGTGTTGTTTTTTGAGAGCTAGGAATATGTTTTCCCCTACATGCAGGCAAATAAAATCTAGAAAGTCTTCATTTGCTCTAACAAGATTAAATGTTTAGGGTTAGAGTCCAGTGCTGATTTTTAACATGACATTCAGAATTAACTGCCACTCTGCAGTGCCAAATGATCTGCAAGGAAGCTTTAATTATTAGCTTCTCTCTGAGAATATTTATAATACGTTAATATATATCTGTGTTTCTCTACCTTTTATTGTAGGAGGCGTTTGTTAGTCTCCTTTACAAGTTTGGGTAATCCTTAGATCCAAAACCATATCATATTAACTTTCTCCTGTTGATGCTGAAGCTTCATCTCTTCAAGCCTTTTTAACAAATAATTCAGTTCTTGACCACTGTCCTTTTCAGCTACAGAAACTGAATGCTAAAATAGAAAATGTTTTTTTAGCCTGCTGTTAAACAAGGAGAACTCTTTATAGTACAGAAAAAAAGTCTGTCTTGATATAACTTTGTCCTCAAGAGGTATTGATTCAAGCAGCATTGTTGCTGGCAGCTATGGTGGGTAGTGTTGGGATTTACAAAGAGGGACATTTACAGAACTGAAAATGTTGTGTTCCAAGGTTGTCAGAATGAAAGAGATCTGAATCCTATACAAAACAAATGAACCAAGTAATTATAATTAACCATGAATGCATTACCAGTAAATAAGAAGAAATGCAGCAAAATAATCTCACCTTTTTTTTCCATACTCTCGCACAAATAATATAATACAGGTCTACTAAATCGAAAAGAAGAGGATATGCTTGTATTTCAGTCACAGCAGCCACCTAATAAATCTAAAACTGTGTAATGAAATTAAAAGCACAGAAATTAGGCTTTTCTCCCTCAGTCTTGAAGATACTTGAATATGCACGGGAACTTGAACAAGTTTAAAAAAACATCACGTGCAACTAAAAACAACTCCTGACAAACAATCTGTAACCTCCTTTGCTTCCAGTAAGAAATGGCCTGTGTCTGCAAGTCTCTGGATTTGGCAGCTATACCTAATTCAGTTCAAACTCCCTCTGACATCAGCAAAACATTACCTGATTAGGAATGCAGGATTGGATCTAAGATAGTAGCATATTAAAATGCCATTATAAATTCAAAAGCTACTACCCAAAATATAAAATGTTCAAAGCAATCAAACAGCTCTCAGTGTACACATTCAAAACGCTAAACAATAGTAGCTATTGCACGTGTGACCATCAGGAAACGCAGCTGTGCTTCTTTGTGTTACAATTAATTGCTTCCGTTGTATATAAAATTGAAAGTATTGGTACTCTGGGGCGGAAGAAGGATATCCTGATACACTGCTCCTGTTTCCTTAGGAAGGCCTATTACTGAACCTTTCACCATTAATTCAGTTACAATGAATTATCCTGTGATGAATAAAGGAAGAGTAAATTGGGTGGTTAATTGTAGTGTTAACGGCACTTTCTCTTTACGTTTTCACACTCTTACATTTGTATCTAATTTTACTCTTTTCACATGTGCCCTCTTTAATAGCAATGGTTCATTTTTAAGTAGTGGAACTTAATAATCAAAGGACCAAACATTTGGCTTGAAGATTGTTCCTTTTTCTTATAATGTTACTAGATCAGAAGAAACAAGACTTTGTCACTGTTCGTTAGCAGGATGAGTAAAAATCTTCTCAGCTTAAGTTTTTGTGGTCAGATTCTCTGAAGCTGGCACACAGAGATGTAATTTATATCCTTCTGTGCCAATAAAGTTCCTGAAGCTGGAGGGGGATGGGATGGAGAGTCTTACCAGAGTTAGGAAGCAGTAGTAACAGCCCAGCATTTCTGTTACGCGCTTTTTTTTTTTTTTTTTTCCTTCTTCTCTGGTGAGAACTATGTGAGAGCAAAGACTGTTTGAGGTTGTACAAAATAGTGCAAATCTGGTCCCTAGTGATATATGCTGACCCCAAACTTTACTGTCTACTTTTTAGTAACACTGAACTTTTCTTCTTAGGGTGCTTCCAAACAGAGAGCAGCTTCTGTGATGGCTTAGAAAATCAGTGAAGTCTCCAACAGCCATGTAAGTCTATACAAGGGGGATAACGTGTTTTGTATTTGCTACTAAGAATTTAATCCCTCAGGATGTTCCTCCTAACCATAGGCATGCATAGGTGTAATTAACACCACCAGCCTGTTTAAAATCCATAAGATGTGTAAAATCACAAAATAAGTGATGTGGGGGAATAGTGGAATCCTTCAGGAGGAGCACAGATAAATTCTGCCAAATGAACCGAAATCTTTGCAAATTTGAATTCAGTCTAGTCAGGGTCATAGAAAAGTAACCACAGAATGCCAACTCAGAAAAGCTGCCATTGCAGAAACCGGTCTACATAATACAGATGGCAGAAAATCATCATCCACATAATAAAATACAGTTGTATTCTCCTTCTTTTGCTGCAGCAGCTGGTACTGGAAATAGTGTCTGAAAAGCTAACTGTGCTCTGTCATTATTCCATAACAAGAGTTTAGATTCAGGTACGCTATATTTGATATGATAGCTAGAACCTGAACCCCTCTGGCTAGGACTACCACATTTCTTGCAATGATTTTTTGGCCAAAAGTATGTTCAGTGTAGCATAGATGCTATGTAATGTACATCCAGTAAAGCAGAAACTTTCGGTAACTGTCATATATATTGTGTATCCACAATAAATTTCAGTAAATCTGGTATTTCCAGGATGCATTAGGCTGAGTACATTTCCACTAGCTTCACAGCACATTACATTGCTTCCTACCCCAAATTATTACACAGCTTGCAAGCATGTGTAACAGTAACTCAGTTCAGGTTTCCACATGTGCAGAAAACATAGACAAATTTATTACGTCCTCAGAGTCAGCACAGGGTAGAATTTCCAGGAAGAAAAAGAAAAATGGTCATGGAAGATGCAGGCCTACCACTGGAATTAGGTACTGCAGAACAACATCTGGTTATGAAATGTATTTGTTGGGTTTTTTTGTTTGTTTATAATACATAAATAAAGTTCTTATTTGTCATCTGAAGTGGTGTGTTTTTATATGAAGCCGGATTCTTGAAAGTGTGCCCTTCTTTCTGCTCCCACATCTCCCATGCCATGCCAAGTCTAGAGGAGCTCTCTCATAAAGCACAAATACCTGACAACAAAAGCTAGGTCTCTGAGTGCATACAGTTTAATGCTTTATTATTTTGCTGAGTATAGTAAATGGACTATATGACTCCAACAATTTAGGCTGAAATACTGCAAGTACAAAATGCATCCAGTTAAAGGGAACCAGAGACGCAATTCTGAGTAGAGTCTTGTTTCAATTCATGCATGTGTTCCATACATACATTTATGCATGGTTGCATTCATCAGCATTAAGATGTCTTTAAACCAAGCTAAACCTTGATCCCAACACTATTTTCCAGTCTATGATTAGATCTTAAAATTAATTTTGATTAATCTTAAAATCTAATAAAAGATCTTTGATTAGATCTTAAAATTAATAAAATACTGTAAACGTTTCTTTTCTTCTGAAATGAGAGCCTTTGAAATTATGGATATAGATATTTATAAAGCTTCCTAGAAATCCAGAACAACCCCTATAATGCACCATACGAATAAAACATTCCAAAAGAACAGCAACTTTCATAGCTTTCTGGTAGCAAGTTGTATTCCTTCCACAAGGACCATCTCTTTTATTAAACTGAAAGTTATATTTTTCTTTTTAATGTACATCTCGTAATTAAAGGAAAAATAAATAATAACTTCAGTTTCAGAAAGACCTCAACTCTTTTTCAGTAACACTGCACGTAGTAAGCAGAAGAATTCCCATAACATCTTTGTCATTAATTAAAATAATCTGAATTCTAAAGTAGCAAGATTATAAAATATTTTACAGTAAAGGAAGATGTATTAATGACACTTTATGTATATTTATTGATTATTCCCTCACAGTTAAAATCTGGAAAATTTTAAAGGAAAAATATGTTCAAAGGGTTAGTTTCTAAAAAAAAATCAGGTTGTGCTTATTACACAGAAAAATTGTGTGACTCAGTCTAACAGTCCTTATTAATACATTTGTTTCTGTTTTCTTTTGATCCAATCTTCCTGAGAGAGGAGGAACTGTACTTTTAACATATATCTAAGGGCATGTTTTATATGCATACGGCAAAGAATTTGTGTCTGAATATAATCTGAATCTCATCCATAACTCTCTGATTTGGCCGAGAGAACAAAGCATTTCATTGTGTATTCAATAATGGTTTCAGCAGTCTCATTCACACATTCCTTTCTTTCTTAATCAACAGAAACTGGCAGAATTTAAGATTCATTATTTAGGGGGAAAAACAATGCCAAAGCCTATAGTTTTGAAATCACCATTTTCTTCAGAGCAAAGTATAACCTCTCTTCTATTAAGAAGCTCTTAATGCAACACTTGTCAAGCTATTTTGAACCACGTCCTTCTCTAATGAACTTTGCTCTGTTCACTTTTTTTGCACCCTATTAGCTGGCACAGTACTGTGCCTCTATTGCTTCCACTTCCTACAGCTGAACTCTCCCGGGATCGTGGTGCACTGTTTAGGCACAAATGGCTAATGCCAAGGTTAAAGGTCAGAACAGACAATCTGGAAAAACAGCAGTTCAGAACTGACAGCAAACTGGGTACGTTCTAGTCATTCTTATGAATTGTGTTTTACCTTAGGCACATTGTAAACAGAAATTATGGTATAAAATAAAATCAGAGTGTGCAAAGTTGCAATTCCTTATGCTGTACTTTGAAATGCCATCTAAAGCCAAGTCTGTCCATTTATTATCTAAGTTTTTAATTAGCTTTAATATAATTAGTTGTACCTTTAAAAATACCGCATGCCTAAGGGGTGTGGATTAGGAATGCACAAAATGGCTGTTCTAATAAGCCATGCTGCTATACGAAGATATCCTTTCATTTCAAAGTACTTTTTGGCACTGGAGTTCAATGAGAACATTTAAAGCATTTTGTATATTATTTAAAGTCACTTCTGCTAAGAAACGGAAGAACACCCACCTGAATTTAGGCAACTAAACTTTGTTCTCAGATGCATCCATGTAACTCAAGACAGAAGTTACCCATTCCTCGTAAAGTTACTATAAACAGTAGTTGTTGACACAATAAGGTCTGTGAATATACAAGTCATGCTAAGTTACAACATGTACTGTTAGTACACTGCATCTTTTAAGCACACTAACATTTGTTTAAAACAGCATAATTTGGTTAATAAAACATTCAAGACTGACATACAATACAGTTGAAACCAATGCTTTTATTTTCAAATCTGAAGTAGAGAATACAACCTCGTATATGCTTTCTTATCAGTACTACATGACTGAAAGCTGTCAAGTTGTTCACATGCCATATTAATAAATATACCCAAATCATAAAGTTTTAAATGTATTTGTACATTTCTTTTATTACTAGACTGTTTTATTCATGTTGGCACAGATAATTCATGCAGAGTACAGTTACTCACACCTCATAAACCATGCTATATTCTGTTTCTGAAATAACTAGGAACTTAAGAAAAATATGTATCTAAAAAGCAAGGGCACTTGTGGCATCAAGTTAACATGTAAATATTTTATAAAACCTAGACTTCTAGTATGATCACTGCAGGCAAGAAATCACTCCGTTTCAAATTCCAATGTTTATAAATACTAAACAAATTAACATCTGCTACCTGGAGACAAGTATTGCCAATAAATATTAGTGTGCCCAGCATTAGACACTAATAAGTGTGTTCAGTGCTGTGGACATTCACATTATTAAACATAAATATGAATAGTCTTTAACAAAACATTTCACTCAAAGTGCTGACCACTGAAGGACCAAAGTAAAATACTTTTCCTTGTTTTAAATTAATTTTAGAAATGCACCGTGTGTGAATCCAATACACTAAAAACTAACATGAAAAAGAAGTCAGGTCAGTGTTCTGCTTTTTTCAGATAATAAAAGCAAAGTCTTCTTTGGAAATGTTTAATTTACTCTTTTCTGCAAAAGCAGCAGAAAAAGAAAAAGCATTAAGATCACTTTTGAAGCCTCTGACTGAAAAGAAACTGAACACTTTTTAATTAGATAAAAGATGGGTCTTCTTATTTGATCATTCAGAGGTCCAGGATCTTTATTTTATTATGTAAAGTCCCATGTTAATTAGAATGAATATAAATATTTAGAGGAACTTATGACTTATCCCAGGCATCAGTTACAAGACATAAAACATAAACAAGTACATATTATTCATCTTGCAAACACTATTTTTGTACAGCATTTGTATTCAGTGATAGTTGCAGGGCCCTATTCTGAATTGTAGATCTATCTATGCGTCTTCCCCCCTATATCACAAAGGTGAGATGTGGCAGAAGAGTATCAGCAGTTAGGTGGGATTCTACCCCTGTGAAAGTTAAAATACTATACTACTATTCACAAATTTCTGGTTCGCATATGTGCAAAAAATATATCTTATTACAGATATCAAGGGCAGGTAAGTGGATTCCCTACTTTTGGACCATATTATGAAGCAGCACAAGTCAAAACAGGAAATTTATTACACGATAATCCTCAGGGTATCTCTGTTCTTCACTCAGAGATATCACTGTATCTCATACAGTGATATGTAAACTAGCTTTAATCTCACTTGCTCAGACACCAGCTGGAGTCAGGGCATGCGTTACAGTGCAGATTAGCTGTCCAAGGAAATTTTCAGGGCTCTGTCAAGTTAGTACAGCTCCCACTGTCTGTGCTGCGGCGTTTTCTCTGTTGCGACTCGCAAGCTAGCTCAGCTATACTTGCACATATTGCAGTCACCCTTCTGCATTGCTGACTTCAAAATTACTAGGTGGGATCCTGGAACTTCCTTGCTAACCCGTTCTGTATAAATTCATATGTGAGCTTCTTGTACCCTAATTTCTTGCTACAAGACCTTTCCTTGACTGTAGCAAGTCAGCCTAGCTATTCCTCCTTTCACCCTCTGCCCCACCCTGAGTATCTAATATGTCAGCTTCGTGCAACTGGCCTTATCTAGCTCTTCCCTTCCTCCAGCCCCAGCATCAGTAAGGACTTTCCCCACCTCCCCAATGCCTCACCTTTCCACACCCAACTGGAGGCCTCCCAAGCCCCCACATTCTGGCTGCTGAGGGTGCTCTGCCCTCTCTGATCCAAGCCTCACTTCTCCCTGATGGAAGTCCCACACCACTGTGCACCTGAGCTCCTCACAGGCTGACCTGGGCCACTTCACCTGTCAATCTCCTTGTAAACAGGGAGAAGAAAGGAGCAGTCTCAGCCTTGCAGCCTACCACCATCTCTGCACAGACTGTACCCCTACCAAAGCTGCAGCTGTTCCTCTCTGACCATCTCCAAAATGTTATGATAGAACCGTAGTTACAACCTTCACAGTTTACAACTCCTTCACAGTGACAGCAAAAAGGGAGCTTTTAGGGACATTGAGGGTGGAGAGGGAGAGAGACACGCACGTAGATTAGATCATGAAACTCCTGAGGCATCACATGCCCTAGTATTTTGTGTCCTGCCAAGGAGTCTGACTCCCTGTTTTGAGAGTCTGATCATAGTAAGAGACTAGTCTCAGTCAGTGGGTAACACAGAAATGTGCCTACTGAGCATCTTCAATGTAGTCTTAGTATATAATATGCTGATACAAATTCTCTTAAATAATAGAGAATAATTCATACAATTTTGTTGACGGCATTCAAAAATTAAAAGGAAATATAGAATTGTCTCACAGTTTTAAAAAGGTATGTAATGAAGTTAAATATGATTGAGAGTTATTTAATTTCCACGATTACAGTTAATTCTTCTGAAGAACATTATAAGCCCAGAGCTTTGGATTTCGTGATCAATGGAATTACATTGATCAGATTTACAGCAGCCCAGCACTGACTGAAAACAGAAAATGTGTTTGCTATAGAAAAACAAAAGGCTTTGCATATAATGTAGTAATTTTAGAATAATTCATGCGTAAAAAATCTGACCCAGTAGCACTCCAGATCAGATCACTGCTAAGATCAGTGAGAACTATGATACCTACTGAATAAACTCAGGTCATACATCTCAGAATTGCCACAGGCAGTTTAGGTTGTTTTTTTTTTTTTTTTTCCAAGACGTGGACTGCCTCCAAGCTAACTTAATTCATATTTTAGAACCCCAATTTTCTTCTATTTCCTCCTTCCCCCACTTCTCCCTAAAGCTTTGGATAATTTTTCATCACTAAAAAGACCTATTTTCTTAGAATGGGCATTACCTATAGGAGGCAAAAGGCAGACAATGCCAAGTCATTCCTGGTTACTCAAAACAGAAGGTACAAGAGGGTGCAGGTGGTACCAGAATGTGGCCCACAGAACTCAGCCTCAGCAATACTAATTCAAAACTGTCAGTACTACAAGCTGGCAACACACAATCACAATTCTCATTTAAACAAATTAATAAAACTTGAATAGTCATCAGGCTTTCCATTTTAATTCCACTTTCTATTAGACTGTTGTCTCCAATGCGAAAGTCATTGATATTTAAAATTAAAAATTCAAAATCATTACCAGTACTACAAGTATTGCTCTTTTGGAAAAAAAAAAAAAAAAAAGTTTGATAAATGTTTGAGCAACTTGAAAGTTGTAGGATAGAGTAGGGAACTTTTGCAAGCTATTTACCACTTCCTAGTTGTAGTAGATGGAAGTGAGTCATCATTGTTTATCAATGTGAAGATCCAGATGTAGATTCCAATTTCCCACTGATATCACTGGGAATTAGAAACCAAAGCAACTTTCCATATTTTTTTTTTCCACAAGAGGAAAGGCAATCTGGTTTTGAATTAACAGCCATAGTTCCTTTCCAGCCAGCCCTATTCCATTCAATTTAAGAGCAAGCTGGAAAAGCCAGATGCCCTTTTCCATTGTGATTTAAAAGTGAGGTATCTACCACCCGTGTAAAAACCCAGTGCACTAGCAAGGTTGACCCAACTTGCTTTTCTCAATCTTACGGGGGTGTGGAAGGAGTTAATTAATTCTGTTTCCACTTTGTTCTCAAACTAAGTTAGTCATTGTCTCCTAGACTCCCAGCTACATATGCATTCAAGGCAAACTTCTTATTTGGAAAGAATCTAAAGTATTTGATGCTATGAGGTAGCACCACAACATAATGGAATAGCACACACTTTTCATAGAGAAAACCCTAGCCTATTTATTTCCCTTTGAAAGCTATGGCCTTTGGTTCTACATATTATTGTTCATGTAGCACTTACTCATTCTTTGCAGGAAAGAAAATGAGTTATTACAAAAAAGGACTTTTCCTGTTATTCTTAAACACTAGTGTGTGGTCTAAGCAGTAAAACCGCAGTGGGTAGTTCATTTGAAACTGTATTTCTATATTACATTTTATGTTACAGGTTTTAGTCAGTATTTCTCCAAACTGCTGAGCTAATAATCTATTTTCAAATTGACTAGTTCTTTTGTTTTTGATTATTCATTCAGTAGGTTTTTGTATGAAACATGCAAATGCATGTTCTGCTTATAAGAAAGAGATTAAAATTAAACTTCGGAAGTGTCAACTTCCTAGCTTTTACCAAGAGAAATGCTAGTTATGGATATTAACTTTGTAATTGCCTAGTTAGTCATCACTTTTTCCCAACATTACTGACTTCCAAATCTTTTTTTAAACATTGATTGCATGGGCATGTTTCTTGCACAGTGGCTTATCCTTCTTGGAATAGAATGGATGACCTTCCAAATTCACATGGCATACCTAGAATTAATAATAAACACAATCAGAAATCACACAGGAAAAAAAGCGAGAAAAAGAAAGAAATGTGATTATCAATTTGAACTGTTTTTTTTTTTTTTTTTTTTTCTGCCCACATGTTTCTTTGACTATGTCTAGACAACACAATACAGAAGTACATTTGATTTCCCCTGGCAGGTTTCCTGCTCCATGCTGAAGTTAGGTCTTGGTTTGCATCAGCTGTCACTTTGTATTTTCCTGCCACCACTATCCACTAAGTTCACTAGTTTCTATTAAGACGAAGTCTGGACACTTAACCGTCTTCAGCATGACATGTCCATAGTGCCTATGCAGACCTCAACGAATAGTGGCACACTCAAGCACATGCAGCTGGCTCAGACTTTAAGACCTGGATTCTGATCCCTGTAATGTTCAATCTTACAATTTTAACAGCTCTGGTTAGCTACTATGGTCCCAGTGGTACCACCCTGCCAGGGTACCAACAGATACTCGTTCCCCTCAGTACTTCATTCTAATATTGGTGTTTATGTGACCAAGGAATGAGTCATTCAGACAGATGATAGCACTGAAAACAAATTACTTCTTACCAGGTTCTTTTTCAACCAATAGAATTCACTGCCTGGCTGCATAAGTGCCAGTGTTGACATAAAGCATGTGAAAATGCATGGCTGAGGGCAGGGCAGCCCATATTTACATCAGTTTTACCTGCCCTGGAATTGTATGGATACCCACACAGGGCACTGCAACACCACTTGCAAGGTCAGAGTTAACCAGAACCACTTAAGGAAGCCAGTACATCAGAATCTAGGAGCAAGAATAATAATATTGTCCCAAATGCTTATGGCAGGCTTAAGACCTTAGTGATGTGCCACATCATGTGAAAGGAAAACCATGTGAATGGATATAAGGAAAAGCACATCAGAAAAGTTCACTTGTTTATTTGCATATGACTTTTAGCTGACTGAAACTAAAATTAGCTCCTGCAAAAACAGCTGTGAGAACTGCATTAATGAAACAGATTTCACCTCTACTAAAAACTGGGTTACTAATTAAATAAATACATAAGGATCCAGTTAAATGAACAAGCAAAATAGAACAGGAAGCGTTCAGGTAAAATGTCTTCTATAAGTGACTAATAGCTCTTATTTTGTGAAGGAAAATGGCTGTCTTGGTATTGCTTTCCATGTTAGAATTTCAAAGATATTTCCGTATTCACAGAACACCATTGTGCTGCTACTCACTTCATGTACCCTTGAAAGACCAGTAGCCAGCTTAGCCTAAGATATTTATGGACATTTTTATACTTCCTACTCTTCAACCTGAATTTTAAAGTCTAACAAACATTAGAAATTCTCACTTGTGGTGTGGCCAACATACTATTTTTAGCTAATTAGATGTTCGAACTACTACTACCTTAGGAACAATACACTGGGGAGCAGCACAGCTGCATTAGATCTATATGAAAAGTACCATTTATCATATGGCTTTTACTGCTTTGTGCGCGTTGTGGGAATACAGCCACGCTATATAGCTGTACGCACACCACAGACTGAAGAGCGTGACCAACTTCTCTGTTCGTTACTGTTCATTCTGTTCACTCTCTAAACAGACTCCTTGTTGCAAGTTTCATCCAGCATTCTGAATGGAATTGTAAACTGTGCTGCTTTGTAAAATTATGGCTATCCTTTTCAGTATGGTTTTAATTTATTCTATATCCTGATTTATATTTATTTGGTAAATACTGGAAAGAATAATAGCAAATAGTGCTATATGTAACGGTACATACAGACTCTCTAAAATTGTATGCTTTATTAAAAAGCACTCACTTGTGATGGTCAAATTTAATAATTCTAATAAAAGTTTACAGAGGAGAAGAGAAATGACTCCCATTCCACTCCATCTGCAAGTAAAAAATCAAATTTAATCCCTCTGCATCCTCAGGCATATGTTAGTCATTTCTGCTTCCAGATCTTCTAATATTACTTAACAACTTTTATCGTAAGTATAAAGAAATGAGATAGTATTTGGTATAGAACCTACAGCACAAATGAAGCAGGTGTCATGCCAAGTGTGTCCAAGGGCTTCAATGAATTTATCTCCAGCTTCAACAGGAAAATCACAGCCATGGCATTTTGTGCTGAACAAAGCGATATAATCTAGAAACAAACAAACAGAAACAATTAATTTAGAACAAATTCTTTAACATAATCTTATTACACCCAAGAGAAATAAAGTTTCCAGTGAATAATTTTTATTATTTTTGCCCAGAGTTTCTTACTACATTCAGCGAACCCCTCCCCAAATGAAATTCTAAGCTGCTTTTTTCATTATTTAAATACAAATTCAGTGCAACACCCTATGTCAGTACAGAACTACAAGCTGTCACCACAAACACAGAGAACAAGCATAAAAAGTGCATGAAATTCAAAGTTATGTTTCTCACATTAGTCTTACATTAGCTTTAATGTATGTGAAAGCTATTTATATGGGCAAATATGGTCATACAAAGTACAACCTAATGCCCAGTAAGCGTTAACTTTAAGGGTGGTGTAGAAGCATAGTTTAAGTTTCCATGAGTAGATTTATGTCATCTATTTAATGTTGAAATGCTATGCTTTTTCTGCATTAAGAAAGAACGTTATAGAAACCCCGTACTGGCTGCTTAATACGTTTTTATTTTGAATATCATGTCCAATATGGAATTACCTTGCCTTGGAAAAGAATAGCAAAAACTCAAAAGATATATGGAATTTTTGAGAGTAATTAGAGGCTATGGGAAAACCTCCAACTTTAAAGGGTAGGTACCAAGTCAGTCATGTTGTAGGATTTTCATTCTTCACTAGGAGTTACTCTGTTATGTAAAACTTGATTTGCACAACATAAAGACTGCATCTCCAGAGAGAACTAGGCCAGAAGCATGTTAAATGGATAAGGCTGAGCTTACAGTGGGAATACCAGTTTAACCTTTGCCTGCTTCCTGACCCTGTCAGGCAACTCACTTGCATGGCAAGCTCCAGTTATTAAACCATATTACTCTTTCTATACTTTTGGAAATCCTGACCTTTTCTGATCTTAGTTGGCAAGAAGCAGTTCATTTGTTCCAGCACTCAAAAAGCAGAATCTGTACTACCATGTGTTGCACATCTGGGCAGAGCTCTTTTCACATGTTGATCAATTGTAGGGGTGAGTAGAAGTATTAAACAGCGTAGTAGAGAAAATAGGGGCAGCAAACCACACATACTGTATTGAAGCACTACCAGAAGAGTTTCTTGCCCCTGTAATAGGTAGCTTTCTGGTGAATAGAATCTACCAGGCAAGGCATGGGGGACAGGAGCAAAAGTGGAGGGAGAGAAATGAAAGGTAAGGTGCTCTGGAACTTAGAGGCAAAAACACCAGCACTCTGCCAGTCTATCACAAAGTGGAGAAAAATACCAAGAAGGAATCATTTGTATATGCAGGCAGTGGAAGCAAGATCCATTCTGGATGGGTAGCCAGTTTTATTTTATTCAGCAATTGCTTTATTCGTATGTTGCTTCCATACAACATAAAGTACATGATTACTAAGCAGAAGTGTCCCGTTTGCCATACCTTTCTCACAGTATGGCTCTCCATCTTCCATGTGAAAGAGGCTATTCCCAAAAGGCTTCTTACAAGCGGCACAGACAAAGCAACTCGTATGCCAAGTCTGTCTTAGGGCATGCATCACTTCCTGTAAAACAAACAAAAATCTCCAGCAGACTAGCATGCACTGCAACTACCTACTGAGGAACAAATACAAGGCAGAGATGTTCTAAACGTTTAACTTCTGTATCAGCCAGTTTCTTTCCTCAAAAGAAATTACTGTGATGTAAACTGAGTTCTTTTGGGAAGAGAGAGGAAATTGGTCTGCAAACTTTCTAGAGCAATATATTTGCCAAAAAGAAACAACATAGTTCAGCCAGCTGTTTGTATCAACATGCCTAGCTGCTGTTGCAGGAAATATTTTGCACAAAGATTTGATTTTTTTTCTCCATTGTTTTAACATTATGAACTCTTCGATGCAAGAGTGTGATTTGTTAATTAAGTTGTAAAGGACAATTTTATCTCTAAGACCAAGAAATGCATGCAAGTGATAGGTGATTTAAGTCTGATGTTTTCAAAGCAACTTAGATTATGTACTCATTTCTTCAAGACTCTCACAAGAACTCTTTAGAAACTAATGTGAAAATGAAAAAAAAAAAGTTCTTAGATTTTAATTTATGTGATTAGTCTAAAAGAGTCTGCATGTGTGTTCCTAGGCCACGTGTTCATCACACAAAAAAAGCAAAATCCCCACAACTGATACTCTACAGAAAAGAAAAAAAAAAGCTTGATTGTGTACAGGTCACAGTTTTTAAACACTTTTACACATGCTTGTTATGAGCCATGCTCTGTGTAATTGCAAACACTGTAAAGCAACTGTAAGTCTCTGTCACCAAAATGGGATGTCCTTAGACTCCCACCATGCTCAATTGCTTCTTCCTCCCCTACACAGATACCACGCTCATGAACAACTATTTGTGTGACTAAACCAGGGAACAGACCTTTCTTTGTCAGGCTACCTTAACCCTTAGCAGTTCTTTAGTCGTGTGCATAGCCACACAAAAGTTTATCCAACAACAAGAAATGGATAACATGGGATAGGAATAAATGATTGGAAGCAATGCAAGTGTTTAACAACTTCAGGCATGAGTATCAGCTTACAGTACTCATGAATGTGTATGTTCACCTGAACTAATGGAGAGAGTCATCAGCCAGACTCTGACTAACCCCCTTTTTAGTCCTATCTATATAATATGCACCTTAAGCAGAAAAAACAGATTTTATCAGTTTCTTTTTTCCATCCAGTACAGAGCAATCTCTACTCATTTTTATGTTGTCATACAGAAGTCCTGCAAGTCCAAAAGCTGTTGTACTGAGCTCTGATGCATAGTTACCTGCTAATTTGTCAGTTGTACTTGTGCCCAAGAGTATACTTGACAGTGCATCTCTGTCCAGATGTCAAAGGACCAGATGCTCAACTGGAGTAATTTTATTTAGCTTTGTTAACTTCAGTGAAACATTGATTTAAAGCAGCTGAGAATCTACATCTAATTTTATGTTGCTTCTGATTAAATACCTAGATTCTGATTCTCTTTTGAGCAATTTTAAATCTCCATTGACTAAGACAAAAGGGACTGAAATCTATTTCCATGCTTTCAATCCAGTGAATAGACAAAATTGTCTAATTTATGTTTACCATATAGATCATTAGAGAATCACCATTGAGATTCATTAACCTCTGTTACTGTTTGCAAAACAGTTATCACTGATAAATAGGTTTGGATCCATTTATGAACCTCACTGAGCTAAGAAGCAAAAAACAGATTGAGAAATCTTATTAATATAAATACAGGCAGCTGGCATCTTTGCTATTTTCCTGATGAAAATCCATAATGGGGAACTGATTTGCGCCAGCATTAATTAGATAAGTTAAGTCAGTACTCTGCTGCAAAATTACTCCTACTGCTGCAGCAAACAGGACTTGGTTGGAGCCAGAGCTTCACCATAAATGTCTAAGACTGCCATCCCTAATTGGCAGTTGCAGAGAAAAGCAAAAGCATCTACTCTGTCAATACCACTATTTAGACAGATATCAAAAGATTACAGCAAAGCAGTAAAAACCAGCGTGGTACTTCTTGCTTCCTCATTTAAGAGAATCTTATCATATTTTCACTATAACTTCATGCATAAACACAATGTTAAAAGTATCTTGCAGTAGTCCAGCCTCACTGCCATCTGCGGTATGTGTAGAGCATATGTAGTTGCATCTAGGCATGAGTATACTCAGAAAAAAAAAGAGGCATCTATTTTTGCCTTACTAGAATTCAGATCTTTTTATTTACTCTATTTTCTTAATTAGAAGAGGTCAGCAGAATCTCTCTCAGCATCCGTGTTGTTAGCTAACAGTGAGGTGCAGCAAGAGCAATCGGCCCCTTCAAGATTCCTGACTTCTCCATGGAGCTTTAGACTAAGTCTTGTATAAAAACATCCCTATTCAAGTCCCTCTTACATAAAAATAAGGAAGAGATAGGTAAGAGAAATATGCTGTATGTTCATTAGCAAAGAACAATCCAGAAAGTGATATGTATTTACACCTGAGAGATGGTATTTGGATTACACATTCTAAGAGTTGAATAAAGTACAGAAATATCCCTGATTTTGGATACATAAAATTTGTTACAAAATATGTTTTTCATTCTGAAATTATCAACAGCCTAGGAAATTATTACACAAAAGAAAATAATATCTGCATTCATTGTCTACAGTCCGAATTATTTCTGTTTTCAGTGAACCATGTAGCTGGAGAAATGGTTCTCTTGCTTACCCCCATGATCTTGGTGTGGCACCTGGCACAAGTAGGTGCAAAGAACTGCTCATAACAGCGCTCACAGTACACACTATTCTGCTCTTCCACAAAGCACACATCAGCCAAGGAAGTCTTGCAGTAAGCACAGTTGAATTCTTCTGGGTGCCAAGAGCGACCCATGGCGACCAAGAAAGGACCCCTGTAAAAAAAAATAATGTGTATTGCAAAGGTATTGAGTGATACTGATTACAAACCCATTTTGCTAGATACTGCATCCATGTGTAACAAACAATAAAAAACTATGCAGGTACATATTAAAGGAAAACCTGACCAGAAATGGTACTTTTCAAGATTATTACTAAAACACTTTGCCAACTGGTTAAAATTTTTCGTTATTGTTTAGACACATATATTACATTTATAAACAAGTGTTGGAAAAGTAGTCAACTGTTTTTGTATCTGCAAAGCTGTAAGTGATCTTTGTGACCAGCTGCAAAGACAACAGGAAAAGACCAAAGTATGTAAAGACAGAAGATTAAGATACTATTTGTAAGTATGAAAAGGCAGGCAAATCTCCAAACCTACCCACCTACATTTCACAAGAGCTCCTGCCTACTGCCTTCTTTTCATTTTAGAGACTGCTGCATCCTGCATGTACTAGAAGTGTCAGACTATCAGATGACAACTTGCTGTTTTATTGTATGGAACACAAGTTGGTTTTGGTGATTTACTCTCGATTGTAATTAGGTGTAGCTATCAGGATTTCATTCTTTTATTACTGGAGACTTTTTATTTCAGAATATATAAAAGATGACAAGCATCAGTTCCACATCACAAAACTAGCTCCTTTAAGTGGGTAAGACTGCATTAAACATGGTTTACTTCAAGTTGCTTAGCAGTCCACAGGGTAACACTGGGCACTGGTCCAGCAGAATGAATTGGGAGAGAAGGGAGAAGCATGCTATGAATCACTGGTAATAAAGTGTAGGCATTATCTTTCTCCAGACACAAAAGCAACAATTACATTTGGCTGCTGTTCCAAAATGATGTCTCATTCCTTTTCTCTCTACCATGCTCTCCTTGCCCCCCAACTCTCCCAACATAGTGGTATGTACCTCCTTCAAGAAGTACTGTAGGGACCAGAAATTTGTTTAAAAAACAGTGATTTGCCACAGCATCCGTGAAACAAACAATTAGCACGTATAACTTTGCAGTGATAAAAAGTGAACCACGCAATAGCTAAATGAGTTCTGGAAATGTTAAATTAATGAAGCAGACAACAGACATCCCTGCTGGGTAATTTAACCGAGTCTTAGGCTCTGGTACTATATATTAACATACAATAACCAGTCTCCCTGTGATATTTTCTTTTCTGCTTCATCCCTCTCCAAAACCTCATGACCTTACCGAATTATGCTGTTACAATGCCCACAAAGAGGAGTTCGGCTGCTGGCTGGAAAACGCTCAGCCCTCTGAATTGTTCCCCGGGCTATTGCAGGAGCCTGGGAAGAAGCTGAAACTGGAGATGGGTAAGCAGGAGTTGAGGCAGGAGATGGTACTGGAGCACCCCTCGGTAGGATGTTCTTTGTGACAGTGGTGGTGGTTTTTCCAGGTGCAAATTTCTGGGAAAAGGAGTCATCCGTTACCCAGGGAGGACGGCTTGCAGGCTCAGTGTTGGCAGGGGTGTAGGAATGAACTGGTGCTGGTGCTGTTTTAAGCATGCCAAAAGAAACCAAAAAGTATTTTAAAGCCTTCTCTTCCAATAGCAAAACAATAACCAAAGCTTCAGATGACAATTAATTATGGTCTGTCCCATTATCATTCAATAATTCTGGACTGAAGCCAAGGATTTCAGCCCAATCACTGGCTTTTAATCCATGGGCGTTATAGAAATGTTTGCCTTCTGGCTTTTACAGATTTTATGGAAATCATTTTCAAAGATCTCTCTTCATTTTTTAATAGGAATGGCTATGAGAATTTTGTGATAATTCAGAAGGCTGCTGTGTAGTCTGTTTAAGACAGGTTTAAAATTGAAAGAGCAGATCATGTAATGAAGTTTTGGACAGAATTCCCCATAATTTCAATAAGAAGTTATGCTGAAATTTTGATCTCATTATATTCATTAAAATGCAGTGTTTTCCACAGATGTCACTATTATTTACCATTTGTAGAAAGTTATACTCCTATTTTCTGAAGAAAAATAGGCTCACACGGAGCACAGAGATAGAGAGCACTGGAAGCAACAGTGAGGGAGCGAATTCAGCTCACATGACCAGCAAGACAAAGGCAGCGGCACTTAGAAGAAGGCCAGGCTTGTGGTTATAACTGATCTCAGCTCTGTTCTTGGCTCTGCCACAGATTTCCTGTATATCTTTGAGCGAAGTGTAGTATCTCTGTGCCTCAGTTCCCGTGTATAAAATAGAAATATTATACTTCCTTTCTTCCACCCTTTGACAATCAGATAAAATCTTCAGCGCAGAGACTGCCTCTCCTCTGTGTTTGTATGTACCAGGCTTTAATCTTGGGTGGAGCTTTATCGCATAAAAATAAGCAGAAGCTAGAGCCTGTACATACTGAGTTTTCCCTTTGCCCTTGCTCTTTTCAAAACATCAGATCTAGCATTGTGTAGGACTGAAGTTACTGCCTGGGAAACTGCCTCACTTTGCCAAGTACACGAGCACTAAAAGCAGTTTTTCCTTTGCAAAGAAAACAAGTGAAGGATTGTCAGTCTGAGGAGGAACAGAAGCTTGGAGAGTTGAAGTGTTTTGTCTAAATCTGAGAGTGGGGGGGATTTGGGAACAGAAGCCTGGTCTCCTGCACAGTAAATCACAGTGCCAATAAAGTGATGAGCAGATACAAGACTTATAATTTTAAGGGGCTTGCAGGTAGAAAGCTTTTCTGAGCAAGAAAAGGTTTTAGAATGCAGACAGATCTCTCTAGACAATAAAGTGATGATAAGATTATGTTCTACTTAACACTCCTCCGTTAGTTCACACTCTACCGCATAGAATAACATGCGCTGATTATTGGCATGCTTGAAGTAGATATAGATGAATCTATTGGGATCGCCCTCGTGATCTCTCATTTTATTTTTTTTATTGAGTTCAGAGTTGAATCTAATGCACTTTCTCGATAAAACTTTATTATACAACAGCATCAACAATTTTTCTGTTTCATAAAACTGTATCCCACCTTAGCCTGAGGCTTCTTTTTTCACTTGGGAATGGTAAACAGTATTTAAAGATTTCAGAACAGAGAGTTTATATCCAATCTCTTTTAACCCTGGGGCTGTTGCTATTTATGTACTATGGTATTAAGCTAGGCAAAATTAGAAGGCAATATTTCATCTCTAATTGGTGAGTTCAAAAGGCTCCTACCTATGAGGCTCTGTAATTAAATAAGGTGACTTCTAGCTCACTCAGTTTTGTGAAAGGATTCTCCCTCCCCCAAGAGCCAATTCTTGTTCATGCAAAGTAAGACACTGTATACCACAGAGGGCCTAACAAAATGGTCAGGTATTCAAATAAAGAGATCCAAAAGTGAATGCAGGCCTGCTGCCATTTTTACGTCTTTTTTGTTTGTTTTGTTTAATGATCGTCTTTAGTAAGTTTTCCACTTTTTCACCCTACATCTCATAATATCAATGTTCTGTTTGACTTTTCCCCGTTTGTTTATTCTACACTGTAGACAGCATATGACTTATCTAGATTCAGGTTAATCTAGACTCCTTTGAAGGATGGGTCTTTGTCTTTCTCTCTACCTTCATCTATTTCTTTTTCACTACTTTTTCCACTTGTCACTATAAAAGGAAAGCAACAGTTTGTTTGTTTGTTTGTTTGTTTTCTTCTCCCAGTTGCTAAAAGAAGATGCCAAGGGAATTATTGAAAAATGGCAAATATTGGGCATTTGCAACTGCTCTGATCTCTCCATAGTTAACTAACTTTTCAGCCATTATCATTTCATTTTAAAGGGTGGATTTATTACCACATTTTCTCCATGTGAGCAGGCTGGAATAATTTTAAAATAGTTTCATTGCCATACATTAGACCTGTTTCACTAACTATGAGATTTTAGCTATTGTTATTAAAAGAGAATTATTATCTATCTTATATCTCTAATCTGTTATAAACAGTTTTTTTCTTAGCAGCTACTGCCATATAAATTCACTTTTCATGTTTATGTACTTCTGAAGTCTTCCAACATACATGTATATGCAGCAGATAAGAGATGCTCTTTGCTGCTAGCAAGCACTAACATTCAGTATGTCAGAGAACAGCTTCTCAGAATATCAGTATTCTATCTGCTGATGCTGAACTGTTCAAGAGTGAATACTTTAAATAATTCAGTAACTCGAACTCTATCACCTGGTTTCTATGAGCCCTCAGATTCTCTCATAGTAGGAGAGAAACAATAGGACTATTGTTATCCTGGAAAAGTTGTAGAAGAGGTCTCTTAACAGCCACAGAAAAAAACTGATTCCTTGCTACTGAGGAATTTGGAATTCTTCTCATCAGCTCTTAATTTACTGTCAATGGATATTTTCCTACCAGAATAAAAAAGTCTAAAGATTCATATAGTAACGTAAAGATTTGAATAGTCTCAAATGCTTTAGTTTCACATACTACACTGCTTAGAATATATAAAAGCACTATTGTTGTCGGGGGGGAGGGGAGGGGGAGAGTACAAGCTGGAAGATGCAAGTACTTTCTGCCATCTAGTGGCCCATGTTCAGAAAATAAATCTGTGTGCCTGTTAATAACATGTTATGAAATCTGTAGGACAGAGAAGGGTAAAGATCTCCCTATACGAACAAAAATAGATTTTTAGCAGCAGAAATTTTCCAGCAGAATTAGCTTAGTCAAAGTGTTACTCTCTCCTCACTTCATACTGTAAACTTAATGATATACTCCTATCTGAGCAAGAAACTCAGCAATTCAGTTTCATTTTGAATAATTTTCAGTGTAAACAAGATTTAGTCCACTTATATCTCAATCTGAGCCATATTAAAGTAGTATTGTAGACCTTCTTAGTGACTGATTTGAGTTTCTGGATATTGTACACATGGGGCTGTTGATAGGTGTTTTAATCTGCAAATTGCTGGCCTGGAGTATTAAGGGAAATAAGGCATTTCATTCCCATTAACACTGAGGGATACCATAAAGGCATCCCTTTGCTAAATTTTCCTCTGCAAATCCTTATAGTTATATCCGTTATTTCAGCCTTTTCTCACGGTGGTTTTAAACAAATAAAAATCTAAAAGAAAATTTGCTAAAGTGAGAGTGCAGTTAGACAAAGGCCTGAGATTAGAAGAAAAAAGATGGATTTTGTGGTCTCATATGTCATCCTTTGAGAATAACTGGCCTTCTCAGAACAAGGTTGCATTTTACACTGCAGGAGAATTTATATGCATTGACAACATTGGATGAGGAAATTTTTAACAGCCTTTGTGGATCTAATCTGTCAGTGACAGGAAACATAGGAAACACTTTTTACTCTATTTCTTCCCAAGCAGCAAGTTTGCGGTTGCTCAGAACTGCAGCGGTCTTTTAGAAACAGCTCACATTCTGAAACCAGTTTGAAGTGCTACTATGCTAAATGTATAATACTTGAAAAAGGTACCAAACAAAAAATCAATATCCTATAAAATCCCTGTTACCTCATGTGTTTGTCACTTTGGGGTTTAATTATAAAGGTATTTTACAATCCCTTACCGTACATCTCAAATTTCTCATTACAACTTCCTTTGGGGGCAGCACAGAGGGAGGTGCTGGTCTCTGCTCCCTGATCACTGATGGCAGGACACAGGGAGGGAACCAAGCTGCACCAGGGAAGGCTCAGGCTGGGCATGAGGAAAAATTCTTTACCGTGAGCATAGTCAAACACTGTAAAAGGCTTCCCAGCAAGGTGTCTGATGCCCTGTGCCTGCCAGTGTTCAAGAAGCACTTGGACAATACCCTCAGTAATTTAACTTTTGGTTAGTCCTGAGATGGTCAAGCAATTGGACTTGATGATTTTTGTGGGTACCTTCCAACTGAGCTATTCTGTTCTATTCTATTCTATACTTCTAAAAAACACAGAGACACTTACTGTTTCTTTCTCTGCCAACTCTTTACTGTTATTTGCATTTGTAATTTATCATATTATGTATTACTCTGAATTTTCTCTTGTCTTCTAGAATACATTATATCTTCATTGTGCCTTCAAAATAAGAATTTCCCACATGCAGGCAGACAATACATGCATCTGAAATGAGTTCACTGTATACATAGCAACACAGAACATAGTTCCCATACTGTGCATTTAAAGCCATCATTGTGAGGCAATGGGGCCCAAAACCAGTGATATAAGGTATTGCAAAGAAGATGCCCATCACAGTGGAGCGTAAAAACATTGCCTCTTATTCCAAGTCAAATTCAACAGTCAGCTTCTTCCTTAATAGATATACCTTCTAGTTTATTTCTGTGGCAGGTTTGTGTAAACCAGTTTACACTTCCCCCCAAATAAGTGTGTGATTTGATATTAATCAGTTTATTTAGGAGATACTTTAGGAGACATGCCAGTTTGCTCTGAGCCATACTGAAGTAAATCCTCTCATCTTTCCTTCTTTTGCACCACAGAAATAACAACATTTGACTTCAGTGAGAACAGTATATGCTGGCACACCAAAATCAAATGAGGAGAAAGTGAAACTTACTGACTCTGAGACCCCTAAATAGCTTGTTAGAGCTCTGAAGTGGCTTTTTCCCACCTTTTTATACAAATAAATACAAAGATAAATCAATCTGTTTTATATTTAAGTAAAATTTTAACATTTAATTTTTAAAATTTAACAGTTTAATTTCAGTAGGTCCAAATACAAAGCATTACAGAAAAAAAACAGTTTAAGATTGTTAGAATTGTTGGCCTTTTCATATTTACTTGACTGTCAAAATACGAATCAACTTTTTAGTTCTCTTGCTAAGGTCAGAACAAATTTAATTTGAAACAACTGCATTTAGACTTATATTGTTGCCTCATGTAATTTGTTCATTTGGAAGGTTCACATTTTGGTCATCAATGGTTTTGGAAGTTCACTCCATTTGTAACACATTAATTCAACTGGGATTTAAATAACATCAAGGAGCATATTTTCCGCACAAATGAATAATCAAATATATTCTTCCAGTAATTGAATCTGTGGGAAACGGAAGCATAGCATAAGTATTTTAACAGGTCACTCTTTATTCCAAATATAAGCCTGAATTTTAGAGGTTCAATATACGGCCTTATCTATTTTGCAAATAGGCTACTTTACTTATTTCATCTCCTTCCTGACATATACATTTTCCAGATGGTTTATCAATTCCGAAGTGCCCTGGGATTCCTAAAAGGGTGCACTAGGCTATTTTACAAACGCATTTATTTGGAAAAGTTGGGTCACACATTGTTCTTAGAAACTTTTCCCTTGCTTTTCTTTTTCTTCCGCCTTCGTTTCACATTTTCCACTCTAAAGCATAATACAATGTAATCCTTGATCTGAAGCAAAACTAGCAATCCAGCAGCATTTGGTTCCATCTATATAAATCTTTTTAGATGTGTGTGTGTACTATTGCAAAAATGCACATATTCTTTTTCTAAAAGAAATGCACATGTATTTCATTACTCAGAAGTCTCCTTACCTGGCTGGTAGACAGAGGGCTTTATGCTGGCAGTAGTGATAACTCTTGGTTTCGAAGCAGCAGAAGCAGCAGGACTTTCACCATAGCTTGCAGAAACAGGCATTGGTGTATATGACTGGGTTGTGTTTCTAAAAGCAAAATGAAGGTATGAGCAACTTTATATATAAACAGCAGGAGTTACTGATTGGGAAATCAAGAGATCTGGAAGCTTCCATAGTATGCCAAAGGTATTGTCCTTGAGAGCTACAGAGAGAATACTTTGAGATTCATTAATCATTGCTAAGAAAGGCTTGGACAGTTCTTCGGAAAGAAAAATTAACTGGATAAGGGTTTTAAATAATGCCAAGTTGCTCTTGTCAGAGAAGACAGCTTACTGAAGGAATAAGACAAATTTATTAAAGACATTCTCAGTTTAAGAATGGATAGGACATCAGGAACGTGCACAAAAAGTTTTGGTTTTCTGGCCCCTTACAAACCAACAAGCCTGTTCTTGTCCAAGATAAATCAATGGGGGATTCCTCATTGACTTAAAAAGATACTGGCTCAGAAGCACAATTTATGGAATTTAATTACTAACTACTGGTTATATAAACATAGTACTCATTTCAAAAAGATTAGAGTGCTCTTTAAAAAAAAGATTCCTGAAACTTTTCCATATTTGGACTGAGATTAATTTATGTTAATTTTTCTAATGCTTGGATTCAGCTAACTGAAAAGCACATGATACGCAATACTGTGATGTGATTTCTGCATTCCTTGACTAAAAACCTTTGCTCGGGGTTCCAAATATTAATAAGGAATCATTTTTCTTCATTTTATGGATCATATAATCATTCTGAGTTTGATTATATTAGCACATAGAAGTATATGCCTCTTCTATTTGCTTGTTACTTAGGATGGCTCTATTTGATGATTCTATTTGTAATAATTTTGATTCATTGACTGCTAAAAGAGCATAACAAACAAAGCAAGCAAGAGAGAATGCAATAAGGAAGAACACGGAAGAGGCAACAGATAGATACTGAGATCCCTGCAGTAAAAGAAACCATTCAGTGTTTAACATCTTTTATACTTACCCTGGTAACATATCTTTACTGTTTTTCCTTTCCGTTTCACTGTCTCAATAAGCTAGATACCTATCTATTTGTGCTGAGATTTTAGGATTTATTTTTATACTATCTTTGGCTGTAACAGACAGTTCGCAAGCATAAGAATAGAAGAAATGTTCTGCTTTGCAAGATCAATGATTAATCTTTGCTTGTACTTTCTCTGACAATGGAAACAAACAGTCTGGAGAGCATGTTATATTTTTTTAACTGTGACAAAACCAGCAAATTCCTTCCAGTAATGGTTAAAAAATCTTACAAACATATTATTTTGATTTGATTTTTAATTTTTTTAAATAACAAAACTATCCTGAAAACACCATTTTTTTCTGCTCTGACTGCTAATACTACAGATCTAGTATGCTGAGCATTGCTGCCTCAAGCCAATTTATTTTGCTTATTTATTTAAACCTGGAAAGACTGCTATTGCTATAATGATGATAGCTCTTTATTTCAATACCTAGTCTAGGACTTAGGGCTAGATTTGGGACCGTTTGGGCCCAACAGGCTCTCCAAGATGAACTATTTCACTGATTTTGGATTTAATGTAAATTCTGTTGTGCACTGTACCAAGATTTTGTAACAACCAAAGTACAGTAAGACTTTTTACTTTCCATTCATAACATCTACTTCCTATTGATCCCTCCATATCTATAACGCATAAGAACAGACTGTACTTGGGGTCACTGGACAGAGAATCATTCCTCCCACTATAGCACAGAGAGGAAGAATGATACTTCACGTACGCTCACATCACACATATCTATTATAATGCCTTTAGCTAAATATGCAGTATCTAAAGACTTTCCCTTGTTTAAAAATCTGTTGTTCAAGGTAAACTAGACAGAAAACCAGTAAAAAAACAAAACAAAAACAAACAAAAAAAACAAACACACATACTTACCTTTACAGGATCAGTGATCGATATTTACTATGTGGATTAAAAGATTTAAGTCATGTGTGTCATACAGCCTTAATATGAAAATGGCACACAATCAGGAAAGCCTACTGCCAGGGGTGCAGGTCCATTGGTGTAAAGACTCATTTCAACATCTCTTAACGCACAAAACACAAGAAGTTCTGAGCCAGATTAGTGATACTTAGACTGCCATGAAGAAAAATGTTTTGTTTTTTGTTTATAAAGCTAATAGCATGATAAAACCATGCTACCAGATTTCCTTGTATGTGTAGGGAAAATAAGTTAAAAAGACAAAAACAATACCAAAAAGAATTGTATTCTTAGTATCAAATTCATGACAAAATTAGAAGCCAACTACTGAAATATTTTACAAATATATGATGCATATTAAATACAATAAGGAAGATAAAAAGGGTTGTCAGAGAAATAAAGTGTTATACTACATCATCAAGAGTTTTAGTGAAGTTAAAATATTTATCAAAATTTTGCTGAAGAATAGGAAATAGCATATCATTATAAAAAAAAAAAAGAAGAGGGAAAAAAAAAGAGAAAAAGAATGAAAGAAGAAAGAAAGAAAAAAGATGTCCTAAGTGTTGAAGATGCTCTCATGTAACAGGAAGCAATGGCATATAGAAAGCGTATAAAAAGCGGTGAAAGCACCTTTACTGAATTTATCTGTAGCAGCCCATGGCATGTGACAGGCAATGAATTAAGTACTGGCTCTGAAAACTATTAGTTGTAAGAAAGTAAACATTTCTAAGCAGATTTTCATGTTAATACTTCGCTAGATGCCTATTAGCAGCAATAAACTGTTAAGTGCTTTCAAGGTAGAGTAGCTGCACAAAACGTTTTTATACCTCTTCTTTGACTGGTAGCTGATGGAGGTAGAAGAATGCCGGTTGAAACTAAAATGAGACAAAAGTTGTATTTGAAAAAAATATACCAAGAAAACTGGGATACCTTGTCCTACAGTGAATTTCTTCATGAATAGGAGCTACTCTTAGTAAATGCTATAGTAAGCAACATGTACATATTTATAATGATACAAGATCGGATTACATTACATTTTGCTTAACTTAACCAGGGAATCATACTGAAACCTCAATAAGGGTAACAAGTAAATGAGCTGAGTATATTGCTCCATAAGCTGCTGTCACCCAGTTTTGCTTACTTTTTAGTTGTGGAATTCTGATTCAACCACTGAGTCTTTGACATTCACTATCAATTTGTATTATCACAGAAAATTAAGTTTCTTTTTGTCAGTATCAAAAGCTTAATTCATGTATCAGCAAAACTTGAATGAATGAATGTTCAATGTTCAGCTAAGTTTCCTAGGGAGTTATGAGTCAATGAGGATAACCCCGCAGAAAGGACAAGCAGAAAATAGTTGAAATGGCAGCTTTAAGCTATCACGATCCATTTCTCCATTGCAGTACCCTTCTACTGTTTGTGTGTTGATCATAGCTCTGGGTGAACAGGTAGATTTTTTTCCTTGGGGAAACCGTATCATTACAGAACAAATGATTCATTCATGTAAATACAAGTACTGAAGATTTTGTACAACATATGATCTGAGAAACAAGAGGGATCAGAATGAACAAGTCCTGTCTAAATGCACAGTTGTGTGGCAGCAATCACATCACACAGGAACACAGGCCCCATTTGCCAAAAATAACAGTAGGACCCCATCAGGTACCAGTTATTTTCTATGCTTTGGAGAATTGTTTTTTCTTCCCTTTACCCCAGACACAGTGCTTGGATTCAGACCCTAGAATCACAAGAGCTACCCCCCACTTTTTTTTTTTTTTCTTCCAACTGTAATCCCGACTCTCCATTGCTTCTCCTGTTTTTATATTCCCAGAGTGCTGGTCTCACTGGTTGCCCTGCTTTTACCCTCCCAATGGAATCACCAATCACATAAAGAGCTTTGTGGCTTATTTAAAAGACTCCTGCTGTGCTTTCTTCTTTGTAAGCAAGATTATAAGTGGAAAAGATAAACATTGCGGGTTTAAAAGTAAGGGAAATGTGATCAGTTAAAAATTAATGACTACTATGAAGATTTTACCCATGTTAGTCATTATGTATACATACAGCCTTGCTCAAAAAAGCAAAAGTAAAAAATAAAAGTAGATAAAACTGACCTAACAAGCTTTAAAAAAGATTAAAATAGCTAAGGACATTGATCAAGAAATCCTCCTGCATTTTCTTGATAGACATTTTCTAAGGTATCTGAAGGAAGAAAAAACAAACTATGGGATCAGTGCTGGGACATCCTTAGACTCATTCTACCTGAACATATTTTACAGGACAGGTATACTGTTGTAAATAAGATTATCCATATAATCCTAGTTCAAAATAAAATATGAACTACACTAATGCTGCAATGGTATATGTCAAGGTGAAATCGAACCTTTTAAATCTGTATTTTTTCATGCTAATGCATTGCTTGATTTCTAAATGAAAACTATCAGATGCTCAACAATTTAAGTTTTAAATGAATTTAGAAACACCTTTTAGGCCCTCAGATAGACCACACTAGCTATAATATGTGGCAGATTTTAAAATAAACAAACATGAAACTAGTGCACAAAGATAAAGAACAAATTTCAGCTGCAACATAACTTTCCAACAGAATGTAAATTTGCATCATGTACCTGATTGTCAGGGAAGCAATTTTTAACAAGTCTTACAAGTTTCTGATTTGCCTTTATGTCCTAAGGCTTGTTGCATTACTGAATTACCCGGAAAGATATTACCTAAGAGAATAATACATGCCTGCTGATCACAACGTCGTTGTATAACAAAGTATATGTCAGCATGATACCTCTGTCATCCATTAGCAAGTAAGATTTTAGGGCACTGGAATACAAAGCTGATTGCTGTAGATTTTATATCTCTTACTTAGATAATTGCTGGCTATGAGCAGTAGCTTTTAGTAGTCTGATGAAAAACATTGGACACCTGTTTTTCATAGATTCTCAGGGGCTTTCAGGTTGGGAAGGACCTCAGGAGGTCTCTCATCCAAGCTCTTGCTCAAAGCAATGCCAGCTCTGAGGTCAGACCAGGCTGCTCAAGGTTTTATCCAGTGTAGTATCAAAAACTTTCAAAAATGGAGACTGCTCTGCCTCTCTGTACAACCTGTTGCCCTGCTTGACTCGAAGGGTGGCTTAAGGTTTTTTCCTTAGCTAGTCAGAATCTCTCTTTTCAGTTTGCAATCATTGCCTCCTATCCTCCCACAAGAAACCACTGCAAAGGGCCTGGCTCTGTCCTCTTAATACTGATACGTAACTAGAAATGAATTAATAATTACAAATGATTTTATAGCTTCAAGGCCTCATATTGCTTCCCTTTGCTGAATGAAAGGCATGTGTAATTAAAGTGGAATGGATAATTCTGAATGAAGAAATAGTGTTATACTTGCTCTAATTTATTAGTTGTTATAGTTAGAAATATATTCTCTCATTCAAGATACTTAGATACTTACAAGATACTTAGACGCACAAATTATCAATGAATAAGACTTCTTTTTTTTTCCACTGAAGCGTAAAAAACTTTCTAATCTAGGGTATGCAATAAAATAAACTTTATTGCAGTTTACTGATGGATCCCTGAAAGTGATACATGCAGTGAACGCATCTGTGATTTTATCTTTCTGGATTGCTACAAAGTTGTTTACTAAGTAGAAGTTTTTCATTATCTAATAATTATTCTTAAAAGAGCTAGAGCCTGTTATGAAGTTATCTCAATGAAATTACTGCAGAAATAAGAAGTGCTACATGCTGTATTACTACATGCAGGCTACTATGTAAGACCTATTACTAGCTCTTTTGTGTAATTCTCACTTAAGTTAGTAAAGCACAAAGGAAATCTCTTATGCAGATATGTAAAAATACACCTATCATATCAAGATTTATATGGGGCCTATGATATAGAGTGATGAAGTAAATAGATATCCACTGACTAGCCAAAATAGTCAACTTGAATTTGATTTCATGTTCTCACTGATGGATACATTTCAGTCCTTAGCTTGGAGAAATACTAAAACTGAGTCTCTTCTGGAGCTCAGAAAAAAATAAATGGATTTTGCACACCAGTGTTATAAACAAGCTCAAATACACACAGTTACTATTGTTGATCAATAAGCATGGGTCTTTTTTTTTTTCTTATTAAAGGCTTTTAACAGACTCCTAGAAGAGCTATGTAGTACGTAGGACCCTATTATCATAAAGCTATGTGATCATTCCAACTGACTGGAAGAGATTTGGTAGTTAAACAAACATCAGATAAAATAAAACCCAATGACATATAAGAGCCTAATCTGAGCACAGAACTGAGCAAAAAGACAGTGTAAGAATTACTTCTGAAATGCACTGAGCACTCATAATTTGAAAATTAGGTCCTCTTACAGTATTTTAAGATGGATACCCACAAATAATGAATTACCTACATAACTAATCTCTTGGGAATTTTGCAAGCTCATACATTAAACTAGATGTCACTGGCAGTAAAAACCCTTGCAAAATCTTCTGTTCCATTCTGTCCTTCCATTCTGGGTAACACTCTTTGTGACATTCACCAAATTCATGACGTAATCGAAACTGAAGACATAAGTATTGTACTTCCACCCGAATATATGGAATTGCATCAACAGTTAGTTTTTCTTCTTACCTTTTAGCAGCTTCATACAGAGAATTATAGAAACAAAAGCCATGCTTACATCCTAAAACTCACAATTCTCCTGATCTTCTGTTCTGTAGCATTTCATTTTTGCATTGGTTTCAGTGATGTGAAGCCAACCAAAATGCTTTCAAGGATGTAATAGTGCATAGTGCTTAACTGCTGTTTTTATGATACTCTTGAATAAGATTATTTTACCTCTAATGCGTAGCCTTCAAACTTATATGCTTTGTTCATTTCAAGCAACACTTCTGGGTGATTCCTAACTACATTTTGTTTTAAGGTAAAAAAGACTTGGGATAATGACCACTTCAAATGTATCGCTGACTCACTTTTTCATTATTTGTGAAGACTGTTCAAATAATGAACCTTAAAATCTACTGATTTTTCCTCTGTTAGTCTTGACAAAGTGTTAATGAAAGCTAAGAAAAAGTTTAGCAGTGGGACAGTACAGCAGCATTCTTTCTTGTGATAGATCCTATCTTTGCCTATCAGTAGTCTTTCATTAGCCACAACTAAGACCGTAATAAATGGAGATCTGTGGTCCTTTGAGAGTGCATCAGATGCTTAAACTATGATCCTGTGTCTTGACCATGAGGAGAAAAAAAAAGTTTGTCATTCCTGCCTGGCCTTACTGAGGCCTGACACATCTTTTCATTTTAAGATGGCAAAAACAGGACAAATTTATCAACTGAAATACCTTTGATCTAAAAAGATGTTGTGGTTACATATCCTAAGACTAAACCTTAGGTGTTTACTGGCTGGGGTTTAATGTGAATGATCAAGCAAGAAGACTATTCCATTAAGCACATCAGACTTTTCAATATTCTTCACAAAACCAATCTCTTAAGAAGCAGAAAACCTTAAAATTGAGTAATACAGAATCAAAACAAATGTATTAAAAAGAAACAGAAAAGAGCTTTGTAGATATACCTAGACTGAGATGAGATAGCAGATGAAATAGTGGAAGCTGCTAATGACATGTTCTTGGACCCAAGGAAAGGCTTAGGTTGTGAAAGAGAGCTGGGGGCTGCAAGCACTCTGCAGAAGACACAGTAAAAGCATGAAAGTATGTACAAAATAATTTCACAGGGACAAAAATCATGATATCAGAACCAGGCTTTGTCGGAGTTCAGGTACAAGAGGACTGCTGCATAGTTACCAGGAACCGGTTTTCTGTAGTGTACATCTGCAGACTTACAGAATAGCACAACCAAGCAACAACCCTACAAACACAAGACAAAATGCACACATAATGTAAAAGATCTTAAAAACAGAATGTAAACTAAGACAGACAATATTTCAGGACAGGACTTTTGCCAACAATACATATTTTTACCTGCAAGACCTGAGGATGTTTGAGTCTGAATTCAAGCTAAACATTTTAATATGAAAGCAATACCAGATAAAAGATTCTCCTTAAAACTTATGGCATGATTAGTTGAATAGAGGCATTTGTTTTCGAGGCATGTATTAGATAATTCTTTTTATTTCATGTTACAGTTTCAACAACAGGATAAAATTGCTTTAGCCATATCATTTTTTCAGGTGACATGCCTTTCAGCACAGTTCTGAATTACAGTATAATACGTTATTCAAACCTCCTTTGCTGGCTGGACGATTGGTTTTCTTGCACTGGAATAAAAACTCTGGAATCCAGTAGGTGGTGATTTGGAAAAAAATGACTAAAGTGAAAAACTAAGTAGTTGGTATTCGTATATAATTTAAGTGAAATAGAAAAAATTAAACAAGAAATAGAGCTAAGAACACTTCCAAATCTATTTACAGAATTCTAAGATATGGCAGACTACATCTTAGATCTCACTTATTTAAAGTAGTTTGTATTACTGATTGTGTGTTTTTCCTAGGATTTTTTAAAGCAGGATAAAATATAAACATTTTAGGAATATTAATGTAGCAAAACCCAAAGATGAACGAATAATATACAGCAAAAATTCACTCGTACTATCCCCAAAACTGCTGTAATGTGACGGCAGCATAATTCCCATCTATTTCTTCACAGACTGAGCCTTATTGCTTCTGATATACCACTATAACTCCTAGAAACTCGTATTAGCTCTATAACTGAATTGCATTAGAAAAAAAAAGAAAGTAGATCAAACTATTAGAGATGAATTGCACTCAATCATAAGATGTGTGGTTTTACTGGTCACTGTGCACCCTGTTCTACTGACATCTGCTACAATATGATAAGCTCAATCACATGAGTAAATTACTTATTTTTTTTGAATTTTCCATTTCATGTCCTACTTTAGAAACACTACTAAAAGAAACTGTGAGATGTTGTTTTGGTTTTATTACAAGCAGTGAAAAAAACACTTGGTTTTAACCCCAAACTTTTTTTTTTTTGAAAATGTAAGGTATATACCAGACAATGCTATTTAAAAAAAAAAAAAAAGATTTAGGCCAGTTTTATTTTGCAAGTTCTTCGCAAACATGAATGTACTTTAAAATAAGAAAGCAAAACAAAACAAAAAACTAAAAGCATATAAAAAGGCTACAGCATGTACATACAACATTCATAAGTTTAGAATGTGTATGCAGCATTTCCAGAGCCATACAGGGGTACATCTGCAAAAGGAAAAAGCAACAAAGCGTTACCTTTGGAAGGAGGATGAGAAAGACTCTTGCACTACTGAGGTGGGAGTGGTTGCTGGCGGTGTCATCAGACTGGCTGTATTTTGAGCAGCAGTAGCAGGCTGATGTGCTGAAGCATGTGGTGCAGGAGCAGAGGCAGAGCTGGTAGACACCGGAGCATGCTCAACAGGGATACTAATTAGAGTTGAATTAAATAAAACAGGAAGCATCTTAAAAAGGTGCATATTTAAATGTAGAGCATGAAACCTATGTTTGCAGCTGAATCTGCAAACATAGTAGCAGGCTGTGTTACTGAGAGAAAAGCACAATTATTGGGGAGGGGGGATGGGGAGGGGATGGGGGGGGAATAAAAAAGACATTTGTTAGGCCTTTTCATATGAGCAGTTAAGACTGTAATGCAGTTTTTGGTCCTGACTGAAATTTATCCCAGATCTTATACAACACTGAAGTCCTCTTCCCACTGAAGCCAGTGACAGGGAGCGTGGCGTGCAGTACTTCGACAGTTGTATAGACCCTGTCACAAACTCTTTGAGTTAGGATAAATTTCATGCAGTATTTACTCCAGGAGCTGAAGTTTACATTAAAGAGTAAACCTCCTAATTAGATAAAGAAAAGCAGTTTAAGGAATATTATTACAGTTTTGTAGCAGCAGGTTTCCTGCAGGTTCTGAAAGTCTAGAGATATAGTCAGCACACTTCTGTGCTGACTTCAGTCAGTTTTCTGCCCTATAGGTACTGGAAAGATGTGTTTAAGAGTCCACTGATTGTTAGCTCATCTCTGCCCTAAATTCACCCCACGTTACACTGGCCAACCTATCAAATGATGAGACACCTCACCTTTTTACACATAAGAAGAGTATGTAAGGAAAAAAAAGTAGCATAACATTTTACTATCTTAGGTTTAAAACCACTTGGGTGATGAGCATGAGTTATCCTTGGGGTCCTCTTGTGGCACAGATAAAATAAACATTTATACTTCTCTGTTATCATGTTATCTTTGATTGCAAAATAGATTTAAATAAACAAAGTCTAGTCTTGTATCCTGTGGCCATTTTGCTAATGTCTTGCACTGCTTGCTATGTGAGTGTGCAGTGCTCGTTAACATATTTTAGCCTTACACTGTCACTCAGATTGGAAAGTATTATTCATCTGTTACAGACAGACAAATTGGGTAAAGTTGATCCATTAAACAACCTTGAAAGATAACAGAGTTAAAAATTGAAACAATCTTTTGTGAGGTTCAGTTCGTCTCCCACTAGCTCTTCTTAACATCCAATGAAAAAAAAAATATATTTTGACGGATTTACAAGATTCTAGGTCTTTGCTGATTGTGTCAATGAATTAGATATTAACAAAAGGAGAGTAATATGTATATTCATTATTTAGTTGTCAATAAAACAAATAAAAATTACTATGTCATTTAAAAGTTCTCGGTGGGGGAGCGGGGAGTTCTGTCTTTCAGCAATTCTGTCTAATATTTTCTTTTGCTTCTTTCAGAAACACTGATCTTACAAGTTGCACTCCTCAGGAGCTAGAATGAGCATTTAGTACTTCAGAATTCAGGACACCTCTTGCTCTTCAAGGGACTGTCCCATTTCCCCTGTCCTCCTCTCATATGACACCTTGTTCTGTGGGTTTGGTAGTCTAAGTGATGGTGTCTCTTATTTCAGCTAAGTATGGTGTCTCTTATTTCAGCTAACCTTGTTTGAAATTCTGGATTTCAAGTCATTATGTGAAAAACTTTTGCCTCACTTTTGCAAAAGTTTGTTCATCATAATCTGCATTTAAATTAGAGATTAACTCTCCCTCTTGATGCATTTGCATTATGTTGTAAATTTTTCCACTTCATTCATACTGCATCAGTTAGATAGCTATGTAGCAAAGTAACTGTATCTTACACATCACAGCCATGGGTCATGGGCTAGTCTATTCCTGAGTTTTAAGGTAAAGGAATACTCTCACAATTCCCCCCACCAGCAACAACAGGCACTGGAATTTTCACATTACATGATGTTGACTCTGAATTTTGTACTTACACATCTTTGATTGAGCAAACATGAAAGGACAAACTGTACAATATTATATTCCATTTTATAATGGAATTTCATGCATGTCTTTAAAAAAAACAGTGATTTCACCTATTTTGTCTATTTTCACTGAAATGAAAATTGTTACAGGTATCAGAAGAATCAAAACTTCATACCTTAAATAGAAGAAAATAGTGAGGATACTTATATGTCGTAACAATCTCCAAAATGTTAACCAAAACACATACTCATTGATACACATTAAAGAAGAAAGAAAGAAAAAAAAAAAAGAGGAAAGAGGGAAAGAGGAGAATGTATGTAGACATGGATCTGTGTGGAGACAGATGTCAACTGGACAAACACATATGAATTAAATGCAAATATACTGAAATACCTTAAAAAAATAAGGGAAATAGAAAGAAAATTTATCTTACATGCTGTAATAGATTTTTAATGTGAGTAAAATGTTAGAGGCTTGATCACATTCCTGCAGGGCAGAACACATTAACTGTTTAACAGAAAAAGGAAGTAGAATAGATATAAATGAAATATATAAAAACCTTAAAACTCAGGGTGATCTTACTACACATAAAGTGTACATTTGGTAACTAATTCTCTTTTATGGAAAGAATTCAGACTAACTTGACTGTTTTTAATTGACCAACTATGAATTCTAATTAGATATTTTATGTAGATATTAAATATTTTTTCCCCAAATCACCTTTCTAGAATTTCAATTTATTATTTTTTTAAGTTATTCAGGCATGGAAGAATTTTGGTAGTTTGTAAACATGAATGCCATTTTATAAAAAAGTCACCTATTTTAACAGCTTCATTATTAAGTTTGTTTTCTATTTTAAACAGGTATTCTGTACGCTTTTAATCTTTACAGTATTTTGCATTTTAGGGAAAATCAAAGGAAATGTATTTTCTGAAACATCTCTGTATTTCTAACAAACATAAAATGCATGATGTGAGTAAGTTAAGTGGATGAACACAAACACATACTCTACTTGACCGATTTTCACTCATGAAAAGTAACACAGATCAGTAGAGGTTAAGAGGATAATAATGGTTAACAACCATAATGAGGAAACAGAGGAACAAATGCACTCAAACATTAAAAATAAATTGCAGATGACTCTTCGTGATCTCAGTTGAGTCCTAAATTATGTGACTTTCTGTCCAAATAACAATTGAATAGATTATTACAGCTGCACTTAGTCTCCTTTATATAATGCATGAAGTCCTTTTTGTTTCAAGTCATCCAACAGATGTCTTGTATAAAATTGAAAATATAAGGGTCAAAATCAAAATGAATAGGCAAAACTTATCTGTTTTACATTAGCATTTTTAGAAGAAAAGTGCTGGAGAAGATATTTAGAGAAAGACTGTGGAAGAATTTTGCATTTGAATATGTGAATGCTTGTAGAAATACAGTGAATAGTATCAGCTGCTGCTTTTCTGCACAAGGTGCTTAATGGCTCTAGCCTGTACATTCTAGACGAAATCCTTAAGAGTGTCACTTTAACATGTAAAATCCATGGGAACTTGGGGTTGCTGGAATTTATGGAACTTACACATCTGCCTTTTAGGCCATGGGCATTTCTGTCTGGAGGAGTTAGAGATTGTTATTACCAAACCATTCCAAAGCTCCAAACCAGGTCAGTTATGCAGTTACACGTCACAGTGTACCTTCGATTACTGGATGAAGTTAGAGGGACTTTCTGGCCAGTAGTGATGAAACTGGCTTCCCTCTGACTTGTACCCGCTCCAAGCCTCACAGACCCCTTGGAGGCCACTGGCTTAGCATTGTCAGTGCTGGCATCCTTGGTGCATGACTGAGGAGGATGCCAAATACTTGAGGTCACATACTGTGGCGCATGTGTAGTAGCTGAAGGCCTGGGTAACAAAGATTACAAGGGAATTTGTAAATGAGATATTTGTTATCATGTCACCTAGAGAACAGCACGTTTTTGAGGGAGAGGGAGAATTCCAGCCATAGAAGAAGCTGGTTGCTTTAACAGAAAAAGGGTTGTTTGTTTTTTGTTGTTTTCAGAGATACTTGGTGTTCTCTACCCATGCTAAATAAAGTAGCACCTTAGAACACTAATACCTGCCCCTTTAAGACAGCAGTTATTATTTGTATGCAGCAGGCAAAGCTGGGGCAGGAGGGCCACACAAGAAGACTAACAAAGGTGCTGAACCTCTTAACTGAAAAGTCAAGTCTGGGTTTAATAATGAAGGCTTCATTTTTCTGTCTTCTCTTTTTCCTGGAAGATTTAAATCTGTAAGTACCCAGCAGTGTCCTCTTTTTGTATCCCTAAATTCCTTACACCATAGGAGATCATCATGGTACTGCATTTGAAATTGTGACAAAGCTTGATAGTTCATTACAGCTTAAGACCAGGAAAGGATTTAAGAATCCAAAAAAGTACCTTGCGTTAAATCTGGAAACCATATTGCTAGGCATACCAAAATAAGACACATAGCAAAGCTGTGATGATAATGGATGTAGAGAAAAGCTATGGTGTGACAAACCATGCAAGATTAAGGCAATGTAGTGTGACACTAACACCAGTCATACATCAGAAACTGTTCCTGGTAAAATCCAAAAGAAGAGATTTCAGTGGAGCAGCTGCACAGTCCTGTAGATGGTTTTGCAAAAGTCAAACAGCTACTGAAATGCTAACGTGTTACTTCAGTTTTCAATTTAATTTATATACATTTGTTACGCAGTAATCAAGGGGTTTATTTAATTCTTCTGACGGAATTCTTATTTTACCTAGCATTCCAAGTGCCAGTTACCATTGCTCATGTCATTAGTGAGGATAATGCTTACACTTGGATTTTAGTTCTGGGTGACCTTTGTTCAAATGCGAGAAGTCTTAAAAACAAAGTAGTTGTGCACTGTTTATGGAGGGATGAACAAGACAGAAAAGCAGTGAGGTAAAATTTGTTTCATGGCATGAACTAATAAGAGGCATTTCTTTGCTCCATTAAATATCCGATCAGACTAATTTACTTTGTTCCAGTACTTGTGTGTACCTTTATAGATATGTTTCTATATGTAACTGCAAAGTGTGCTGGGATTCTTTGGTAGAAAACCACTTTTGAATTGAAGAAAGTTACTTACAGTGGTGTGTTTTGAACCTCAAAGTCCAGCAAGGATAAAACAACATATGCAAGAATCAGATATATAAATGTTCTCATAATACCCAAAAGATTCTTTCTTAGATCTTAAAAGCATCTTGAACAACCTAGACAAAGTTTAAAATGGAAATTGTTCTTAAAACCCTATCAAACACGCAACATTCCATTTCAACAAGACCTGATAAAACCTTCTAATTTTTCAGGCTTATAAGTTGAGCTACTCAATCCACCCTGCCCTGTTTCATAGTTTGCTACCATCTCATAGAAATTTGAACTCTACGTTAAAAAGAAATGCCCCAAAACCTGCTTAGTTGCAACCTCTATCCGTAATTGCCCACTCAAATTGTACAAATTTCATATGGCTTTGAGGTAAGAACAATGAGTAAAATTGAGACAAATTGAAAAGGAATAAACAGAACACGCAGAGCAGACATTACCTGTTTTCTGATGCTGCAGCAACATTTTCCTTGTCTCTGTGAAAGGAGGGGATACCATATGAATAAAACAAATGCAACTCTAAGTGGTGTGGGAGGAAAACAAAAACAAAACACAAAAACAACAACAAAGAAAACCAACCACACAGGACAAAGGAAGATGAATTGAGGAGAAATGTTTGGTTGCCAAAAGCATCCTAGAGTGGTTGCTTGTAAATAAAGCTGAGAGAAACACTTTCAGCTCTCCAAGTGAAACCCATTGAATTTGCAAGCTTCCTGTGAACTTTTTCTCTTGTTCAATATTAAAGAAAAATGAAGAGAAATTAACAGTTACAAATCTGGCATTATCTACATATATAATTTTAGGCGTAATTTTGACTTTTGTTTAAAGTTCTCTTTTAAAAGAAAAATACAATTGTATTCCAGCAAAACATAATCTGATGCTAACTCCAAGTGGTAAAAATCGGACTTGGGCAGTCCTCAAGATCCAACACTATGAAGTGATAAGGAATTAAATAGTTAACAAAGACTCGCATCTGATGGACTGTATATGTCTGGCTTCACTTAAAAGTTCTCTGTCCTGCCCAACTAAGTACTAGTTTTCTCAGTTCTAAGTTTGATTAGAAACAAGAAAAGTCATCCCTTCAGAAGTGAGAAGTAAGTCCACCTCAATTTCAGCGACAGAACATTGAGCTGTTATCCTGTAAACACTCACACATGCCTACAGAAATAAATGATCACTTTAAGTGCAAGCAACTGCATAGTTATGGAAGAAGATAACAAATGGGTATTTTTGTGAACACTATAATCCTTAAACTCTAGACTCCTGTTTGAAATCCAGTTGAGTTAAATAACTGAGATAAGTCTCAATATTTAGCAATACGGTGGGTTACATCTTTTCTTAGTCAATACATTGTGCTGAAATTTCAGCATGCTTAAAGTTAAAATATGCCAAATTAGATCCATAACTGGGATCTAAAATTACAAGACACAAAGCGAATTTAACCTCATTTAACCAACTGAACCTCCTTTCTGAAAAGTTCTTCAGTAGAAGAAATACAAGAATTTATTTAACTTGTTTTGTTGAGTGCCAACCATTGCCTTAAATTACGTTTCAAAGACTGTTCTTAGTATTTTCTGCATTATTAGTAGTAGTTTATATATTGGTCTGTGTTTATTTATGTACACATGCATACATACACACATTTCCCTTAGTTTAGCACCAGTAAAGTTATAAACACCAGTCCATCAGCAAAGATTTGGGCATAGATACTCTTTCAATAGATACCCTTCCAATTTTTAAAAGTTCTTGACTAAAACGTAACCCCAAAATAAATGAATTGAAGCCAGACTTTCAAACACAGAAGTAGATTTGAAATGAGCCTCAGATGTGTCTAAGAATATTACACTCATCAGAATGGAAGAATCTGACTAGAACATAAATACCACCTAATAAGATGAATTGTTCACCACTCTAAAGCAATGAGAAACCAAACGCTATCTGTATGGTAACCAAGCCGCAAGTTCACTGGAATGTCCTGTGTTGGAAAGCCAGGCTGAAACAAAGTGGGGGAGGATGCATTAGAAACTGGTGGGGGTACAGGTAGGACAGGAGAGTGTTAGCATACACAGAGCCATAATCATGCACCAGACTTAAAAAACACAGTTGCAGCCAAAAGAGAATAAGGCATTGTTTATTTCCAGTGTTACCAAATATTCATGAAAAAAATATAGGCAAGAGGAAAAGGCAGGCAGTTAGGGGTAGGGCAGAAGCAGCATTAAGCCTCTGGTGTTACTATTAATTTGATCAGAACTCTTCCAGTCTCCTAGCTGTGGCTATACTAAAAACGCAGAATCCCAGAATCACTTGAATTGCAGAATCACTTGACTGGTTGGGATTTTACAAAAGCTTTTTCCCTGAGCGTATCAGTATAGGATAATGTTGAATGACAATGGCAGGGGGAGTTTTGAAGGTTACAGATAGAGAGAGATGTATAGTAAACATACTTCCACAGAATAAAGCAAAGGAAACGGCAGAGAGTAAAGGAAAGACAAGCTCAAAGGCACACAATAGTTCCTTGACAGTTTACTTTTAGGAACTATTTCTCTTCCCAGTCAATAGGCATAATTCTTGTTCCGCTAACGGTGAGAAAGGTCAAAATCAGATCTGACTTTTATTGGTGATACTCATATTTCGAGGAACAGGCTATTGAATTTCCAGCCTTTACATTCAAACTGTTTTTGCAATCTAAATGCAGAATTCATTTTACTTTTGAGTCAAACACATCGCCGGGACAGGCTTGGTAAACTCGATACCTTTACATGAAAGAATTTGGCTCAGAATATTAGGAGCAGTTTGTATCTTTGTGGTTACACATGCTGCTCAAATAAACGACACTAGTGTTGAGCTACCTGGGCAAGATTTAATATTAATGGTTTTGTTTTGTTTCTTCTACAGTCCCTTTAGGTCCCTAGCTAAAATATCTTTTGATAGAAAGGCCTTAGTCAATGATTATTTGAGAGAACACTCCAACTCCCACAGCTTTCATTAAATATTGGACATGTCTCAAACAAGACTTCTGTACGCAGCAGACTGTATCCCAATAACTCGGTATGTTATACAATGGAAGCTAAGAAATGTTTCTTTCTCACAAAACTATGCTACATGATACAGTCATAAAGACAGAGTGAATGGAACGACTTGGATAGCATCCTTCCCTCCCCCACAATAGCAAGAGCTGTATCAGTTGGGGTAACAAAATGCAAAGTTCATTTGCATTGTGTTCATTCAGCTTGTGCGTTCTAGTGGACACTAAGATAGGGAGAAACTTCAGAGAGCTTCTAATAACTGATTCTGATGAATCTGAACTGTATGTGCTGAACAGCAGAACACTTTATCATTTTATATTTGGAAACCAAATGGAAAAAGATTTCCAAACAGTCACATACATGTAACAAGCTAATCGAGATTCTGAGAATGTGCATCTATGTTCCATCTACCTTCCCCTTAGAGCATCTAGACACTCTTGAACAGCTGCTTGTTGTTCCACTAAAATGTAGAGACAGAATCATTTAATCTGTAATGAAGATCCGAAGGCATTGGGAAAGATTGGCGTCCTGAGAGACCACATGGTCTTTCAACTTTTCTTTCAGTACTGAAGTAATAAATGAACACCATAATTATTTATTCTCAGCATTGCCATGCAGCAAGTTGTTCTCATTTTACAGATGAGGAACTAAATAGAATTGCCCATGGCCAGATAGAAGGTCTGTGGCAGGGCGGAGAATTGAAATTAGTCAATCCCCCAAACTCAACTAACTATTTAAAATACCAACTCTCACTGTCTTTAGTAAGAAATAAAGGAACTATTTTTATAAATACTAATTGAATTATAAATATGAATTTACAAATTTATAAATTCACTTTATTAGTATTTTCCTGTATTGATCATCCAACAGTCTTCTAACAAAGAAGATGCCTGACAGATCTGCTGTCAAAAAGTAAATAGTTACTAAGACTTACAGATGATTAGGGTCTATAGGGTCTCCTGAAATTAAAAATTCTGTTTTTCTACCAGCATGTTGTGAATTCACAGGACTTTTCCTTATTAGACTAATAATAGCTTTCATCCTAACAGATGCTTATATTTACATATGCATATTTACCTATGGATAAAATTTCCTTTTAAGAAATTAAAGTCACAAAATAATTAAAAAAAATTCTTATAGGTTATCTAGGGAAAAACTTGTATGAAAGTTATTTCCTAATTGTCTTCCAAACATTTTTTGCCTTGAAGGCATGAGATACTGATACTCTTGGCAACTGTACACTGAGCTACATTAACTGCTGTTCTGATCCAGAAGGCATTTTCTAGCTTTCTGTGTTTGCAGCTAGGAATTTTTCTATAAACACATGAATACAAAATCATTGAGATGGCTTCCCCCCAAGCTATATCTTTTTAACTGTAACAAACTATTATCTTAACAAAGACACCACAAGACACACACACAAAAAAAACATAAGCAGTTAACTGGAGAGGACAGAAGATGACTATCATGCTGGTTTAGTTAAAACTTTAGCTTGGGATCAGAAAAAAAGGAGTAGAAGAAGAGCTAGTCTCTCTTTTTCAGCCACTGTAGTTAAGAATGTGAGCAGCCCACGCCAAAACAATCACAATATATCCTGCTAGTACGTCTGCTTTTCAAAACAGGGAAATACATTTCTCCCAGAAGGTATCCTGGTTTGTGCAGACAGTGCCACAGAATAGGAAAAGCATTGCCATATATTCAGTGAAAAAAACCAGCCAACTCATTCTCAACAGGTAGTATGAAACTCAGTCAAAGCAGCTCACTACATCACAGTAAGTATCTCCTATGGATGCATTTTAGTGGCATCTATGTATGCTGTTACATTAAGCATTCAAATAATAAATACATGTAGAAATACAGCAGCATCTGTGTTTGTGAAAGGGAAGATAACTTGTCCAAGATTTATGTATGGACATTTGGCATGCAAGTATGTACTCCAATTTATCTTATTGGAAAACTCAGCGCTTTAATAAGAACAAAGACTGTAAAATCCTGAATGTATGGAACAATTTAAGCTTGTGTATTTTTGAGCTCAAAAGCTATGGCAGATAGTTTTCCCGTATCTCGGCCTTAATTCTGTAATCAGATCTATCTGAACAGTTCCCTCTAACTTTTTAGAACCCTGCTGGTAAAGCACAAACATCTGCCAGCAGGCACCTGAACACAGGATCAGAACTTTCAGTTTGTGTTTGTGCACTTCTTTGTCTAGAGTGCTCACAGGTTCAGCTATTGTACACTGGAAGCGATTCCCCAATCACTGAAGCATTCTCTCTCATCACGATTTCATATTGCTCCAGGGCAGCTGAGAGCAAAACAAGAACTCATTGATCTCACTGTCCGCTAGCAGTTTTTAGAGCCAATTTTTAATTTGTGCACATTGATGGTGAGAAACTTCATACTTTCTCTACACAGCATTTTCATCCATTTGAAGGTGCATTAGTGCATCTTAT